GCAGGATATATACATAGAGACATTTACGGTGGGATTTAGGGTTTAGGGTTTAGGGTTTAGGGTTTAGGGTTTAGGGTTTAGGGCTTAGGGTGTAGGATTTAGGGTTATTGTTTAAGGGCATATATGAATATATACACACACATACATATATATATATATATATACTTCTATAGATATAGATTATAGACTATAGAACCCCCCGCACCCCAGCACCTACATGTATCTGTATCTGTATATGCATATGTATGTGAAGATATAGATATGCACATTCATACATACAAGAAACCCCCTAGACCCGTAAGCCCTAACGGCTTACAGCACGGCTGCCCTGAACACAAAGACCCCAAACCCTAAACCCTAAACGCTAAGCCCTAAACCCTAAACCCTAACCCCTGCGGGGTGCACTGTTTACAACTCAGGGTTTGGAGCTCGGGCTTCACCTTTAAGATGCTCCCCAACGACATCAGATAGAATTGTCTTCAGGCCCACGTATCCTAGAATCAGGGTCCTTAGAGCCTTAGGGTTTATGGCTTAGGGTTTAGGGTTGAGGGTTTAGGGTTAGGGTTTAGGGATTCTCATACTACCCCTGCCCTATCTGCCCTAGCTGGTGCAGAACCACCATCAACCCCAAACCCTAAACCTTAAACCCGAAACCCTAACCCTAAATCCTAAACCCCAAACCCTAAACCCTAAACCCTATTATTGCGCGGGTTGGGGTCTGGTGGCTGGTCTTGTGGGCTGCAAGCTCCTATGGGTTTAGGGTTTAGGGTTTAGGGTTCAGGGTTCAGGGTTCAGGGTTTCGGGTACTCTATAATCCCTTTTAAGGACTGCTAGTATGAGGGTGAACATCCCAAGATGTGAGTTCCATATTCGCGTGTCGACACTGGATGAGCATGACCCTGAACCCCAAGCGATAAATGGGGGCTTACGAAAAAAAGAACAGGACCCCAAATATAGTCCCCAAAATAGTAGGATTCCCTTATAATAAAGGCCCCCTGTAAGATCCTGCTCCCATAAAGAAAGCGCTTTTTGTGGAAGACCTGAATATGATTCACAGACCGGTTGAGGGTTTAGGGTTTAGCGGGGGGGGGGGGGGGGGGGGGTTGGGGTTTGAGGTTTGAGGTTTGAGGTTTGAGGTTTTGGGTTTAGGGTTTCGGGTTTAGGGTTTAGGGTTTGGGGTTTGGGGTTTAGGGTTTAGGGTTTAGGGTTTAGGGTTTAGGAGCCTCATAACAATGTCTAGAGTCTATGGTTCGGAATCTGCGCAAGACAGGGTCGCGGTTGCTGGTGATGGGGGCCCACCAGGAGAAAAGAGGGGTTTGCGCACCCCCTAAACCCTAAACCCTAAACCCTAAACCCTAAACCCTAAACCCTAAACCCTAAACCCTAAACCCTAAACCCTAAACCCTAAGCCTATAAACCCTAAACCCTAAACCCTAAACCCTAATCCCCAAAACCCTAAACCCTAAACCCTAAACCCGAACCCTAAACCCTAAACCCTAAACCTTTCGGGTTTTGGTCTTCCGAAAACCTCGACCCCGGCCGCGCGCCTCACAGCGGCAGCACCCTCCAGGTGGGCGCTCGTGCTTAAAAAGACAGGTTCCCCCTCTGGGCGCGACCCTCTAGGGTTTAGGGTTTAGGGTTTAGGATTTAGGGTTTAGGGTTTAGGGTTTAGGGTTTAAGGTTTAGGGTTTAGGGTTTAGGGTTTAGGGTTTAGGGTTTAGGGTTTAGGGTTTAGGGTTCAAGGTTCAGGGTTTAGGTTAGGGGTTGGGGCTTAGGGTATGGCTTAGGGCCGTGTGTAGGGTTGGGCTTATGGTTGAGTGCACCCAAGAGAAAGGGACCCGTGTGAAAAGGAAAGCTGGCCCCATGCAACTCAATTCATGAGGCTTGTGGGGCCAAAGGCTAAACCCTAAACCCTAAACCCTAAACCCTAAACCCTAAACCCTAAACCCTAAACCCCATCTCAACCCGGAGAGCCCCCAGGGGTATGGAGCTCTCCGGGAGTCGGGAGTACTCACGTGCTTAAAGGGGGAGCTGCTACCGAGTCGTCAGCCGCCCCCCAGAACTGATCCACCCTTCCGACGATTGCTGGCACAGCTTGGTGCCAAGGGTTTAGGGTTTAGGGTTTAGGGTTTTGGGTTTAGGGTTTAGGGTTAGGGGGGGGTAGGTACCTAGGGAACCTTACGGGAGCTTGGGGAGCCTTCGGGAGTAGTGGGGAGTACCAGAAAAACTTGCGTGCTACATACCCCCGTTGAACCACCCCCCTTTTCCCTTAAGAACCCTAAACCCTAAACCTTAAACCCTAAACCCTAAACCCTGCAACAGAGAAGGCTTGGGGCTTTCGGGGTGTTTCAAGACTGTTTGGTGGGTGTGGTCCGCGCGCGTTCACGATGTCCAAGGCTAAAAAACAAAGGCCACCCCTGCACCTTGGGAGTCTCAAAGGCGCAGGTGAGATAATTGTGGCTGGTTACTTGAGCCTTTTGCCGAAGGACCCTTCATCCCACCCCCACGCCCCCTGCTGCGGTGTTGAGGGTTTAGGGCTCTCAGGTTGGAATGTGGGGTGTGGGGTGTGGGGTGTGGGGTGTGGGGTGTGGGGTGTGGGGTGTGGGGTGTGGGGTGTGGGGTGTGGGGTGTGGGGTGTGGGGTGTGGGGTGTGGGGTGTGGGGTGTGGGGTGTGGGGTGTGGGGTGTGGGGTGTGGGGTGTGGGTTTGGGGTTGACGCGGACTTGGAGATTGGGTTTGGGCTTTGGGGCGTGTTGTAAGTTTGTGGTGGGGCGAAAGGAAGCATGACCTTGCTTCATCCACTCTAAACCCTAAACCCTGAGGTCCCCAGCCAAAGCCATGGTATGCGCTACTTGAAGGATCACGGCTAGTGCCTTCTAGAATTCTAGTCTGTAAACCACACCCTCAGCTCTGAGCCTTTATACCCCTGAACCCGAAACCCCTGAACCTTTAAACCCTTGAACCCCTGAACCCCCAAACCACTCAACCGTAGACCCCCACATGCACCAGCATTCGCGCACCTCCCCTCCCTCCCCCCATCCCCCCATGGTATCACCCCCGGTGGTTCATGGCGGGTTTACGGTTTAAGTTTTGGGTTTGAGGTTCCCCCCTCAACTCCTGTGGTTTATGGTCTGTGGTTCATGGTTTAGGGTTTGGCTTTTGGGGTTAGGCTGCAGGGTTTAGCGTGCAACCCAGCCCCCCCGCGTGCTTGATGGTGGGTTTAGTCCCCTCTCCCCCCTTTAGCTCGTGGCATGTTGAGGGTTCACGGATTAGGGTTTAGGTGTCGGCCTCTCCTCCATTGTGGCACGTGGCGGGTTTGGGTTTTAGGGTTTACGGGTTTTCGAGAAGTCCTCAGCCTTGTTCGCTCCTGGGAAGTCCCCCCCCTTCCCAGCCCTCAACCGTAAACACCCAAAAACCACCAATTTCATGTCTTTAAGCTTTGACGCGCTTTGTTTGGAAGATTCATGGTAGTTGCTTACGATATTTTCCCTGGTTGCTTCGTCTACTTTCGCATTGTATTTGTGGTGTTTCGGGTCTGGTTGTCGGACTGTCGTTTCCTTGAGGGGGGGTGCGGGGTGAAAACGTCCCTCCAAAATGCACTGTCCTTGCACCCGCAATTCACCCAAAGCCTCGAGCACCTGTATCCCAAAACACGTCACTTTACCCTCACTTCGCACCCAATGCCCCAAGCACCCTCATCCAAAAACACTTCTTTGCAGAATCCGTTCGCACCCACCGCCCAAAGCACCGTCACCCAAAATCCTTCCTCTTCCTCAAAAAATATTTCTAACGTTTCGAAGGTATCGAATGCTTTGACAAGCAGCCTTCGAAACATTCGAACACTAAACTGTCGCGAGTCTTTGAGTCCCCTTAAGCAAAGTAGTTTTGTGCTGACTTAGAGACCTGCATTTGACCCTAAACTTGGGGGTGGGCTCTACCATCATTTACTATGGGATTTGCGCTACCCACCGTGGGCCCTCCGTTACAGCTCCGTTACAGCAACTGCTACAGTTCCGTTACAGCTCCGTTGCACCTCCGTTACAGCTTCCACTAGAGCTCCGTTACAACTCTGTTGCACCTCTGTTACAGCTTCCGTTACAGTTCCGTTACAGCTTCCGTTACAGTTCCGTTGCAGCTCCGTTACAGCTCCGTTACAGCTCCCTTGCACCTCCGTTACAGCTCCGTTACAGCTTCCGTTACAGCTCCGTTACAGCTCCGTTGCACCTCCGTTACAGCTCCGTTACAGCTTCCGTTACAGTTTCCGTGACAGCTCCGTTACAGCTCCATTGCAGCTCCGATGCACCTCCGCTGCAGCTCCGTTACAGCTTCCGTTACAGCTCAGTTATACAGCTCCGTTACAGCTCCGTTACATCTCCGTTACAGCTCCGCCACAGCTCCCGTTACAGCTCAGTTGTACAGCTCCGTTACAGTTCCGTTATCAAGTTGCTGCTTCAGCTACGGCTCCGTTACAGCTTCCGTTACAGCATCGCTGCAGCCGGTAGCGCTCCGTTGCAGCCTTCCGATACGACTCCGTTACAGCTCCGCGACAAGTCCGTTACAGCTCCGCTCCTTTCCGTTACAGTTTCCGTTACAAGCCCCGTTACAAGCCCCGTTACCGGCGAGCATTTCTGTCATAGTAGAGGCCTGCAAATGATGGTAGAGCCCCGCCCCAACCCTAAACCCTAAACCCTAAACCCTAAATAAACCCTAAACCCTAAACCCTAAACCCTAAACCCGAAACCCTAAACCCTAAACCCTAAACCCTAAACCGCGCACTTACTTTGCCGAAACAACTTGGGAAAATGAGGCGGGGCGTCATACGGAAGCATGCATCTTTGTGGAGTTTTAGGAACAACTTCCAGGTGCGCTTACCCTACATCTGGCTTTTGGCTTAAGGTTTGGGACTTTGGGTTTAGGGTTTAGGGTTTAGGGTTTAGGGTTCCGGGTTTGGGGTAGAATGCCTTGCTTGATACCTGAACCCTGAAACTTTTCGCAAGGTCCTCATAATGGCAAAGGCTCAAATTGCCCTGGCATCATAACTCCAATCGCTTCCCTAAGGCTCATGACAGGGGCTTCCAACTGATCGATGACCAGCCGATGCGAACCGTGCCTTGGTGCGGGTTAGGGTTTAGGGTTCAGGGTTTAGGGTTCAGGGTTCAGGGTTTAGGGTTTGGGGTTTAGGGCTTAGGGTTTAGGGTTCAGGGTTTAAGGTTTAGGGTTTAGGGTTTAGAGTTTAGGGTTCAGGGTTTAGGGTTTAGGGTTTGGGGTTTAGGGGGGTTAATAGGGTTTCGGGTTTAGGGTTTACCCTTTAGTTCAGGACTTTCTCAACACGCAGTCGGGATCCGTAAGCCCCAACTCTAAAGCCTAAACCTAAGCGAAGGGGGGGTGACTGGGTTTGAGGGACTCTCTAAGCACTTCAAAAGAAGAACGGCCGAAGCCGTAAACCCCTAACCCTAAACCTTAAGCTCCTAGCTGGGAACTCCACCCCTTCCCTGAAGGGCAAGTTCCTAGAAGCACTCTGAACTCCTCTCGCTTATCGGGTTCTTAAGGGAGCTTATCGGGTTCTTAAGGGAGGGGGGTTCAAGGGGGATACAGTATGTAACCCCAGGTTCCCTAATACTCCCTAAGCTTCCCTAAGGTTCCCTATGTACCTACCCCCCCATGAACCCCCAACCCTAAACCCTAAACCCCAAACCCTAAACCCCCCCATGAACCTCCTAAGAACCCTATAACTCTGGAATGGAATGGAATGGAACAGAATGGAATGGTGTCTGTATGTATGTAGGTATGTATGTATGTGTGTATGTATGTATGTATGTATGTATGTATGTATGTATGTATGTATGTATGTATGTATGTATGTATGTATGTATGTATGTATGTATGTATGTATGTATGTATGTAGTATGGATGCATGCATGTATGTATGTGTGTATGGGTTTTGGTTATGGCAAGTCTGGGACTTGGGGTTTAGGGCTTATATAGGGGCTCGGGTTTAGGATATAGACTACCCCTCCGCTCCCTCATTCCCTGCGAAACCCTGAACCCGAAACCCTAAACCCCCCCCCCTCCTTAACTCAACTTACGAACCTTACTTACTAAGTCAAAGCCCTTCCAAGTACGAAGTATAGGGTTTGTGCAAGCAGGGATGAGGCCGGCTTTGGATTTAGGGTTCAGGGTGTCAGGTTTGCGGGCTTAGGGTTTAGGGTCTAGGGTTTAGGGTTTAGGGTTTAGGGTTTGGGGTTTAGGGGGTTTAGGGTTTAGGGTTTAGGGCTACTTAGGGCTTGCTCAGAAATGGTTTAGGGTTGAGGGTTGACTGGTTCAGGGTTGAGGATTGACTGGCTTAGGGTTTAGTGAGTGGTTTAGGATTCAGGGTCTACGGAGGGATGGAGCATTTGGCTTTACAGGGAAACCTGCTCCGACCCAATCCCCATTCTCTGAAACCCTAGACCCCAAGCCCTAAACCCTAAACCGTAAACCCCGGTGGGATATGGGACATCCGGACACCCCAAACCCGAAGCCCTTTCCCCTGCACCAAGACAACAAGGCAACCCCTCAACTCAGAAAACCCTGAACCCTAAACCCGAAACCCTAGACCCTAAAACCTAAACTGAAAGCCCCAAACCTGAACCCTGAACCCTGAACCCTGAACCCTAAACCCTAAACCCTAAACCCCCCCCCCCACCTGTCTGACTTGAGAGCCACATCCAACGCGGTCTTCCCTGCCGAATCGGTGGCCTGCGCGGGGTTGAGGCCAAGAGTCCCTCACAGTTTCGGGTTTAGGGGTTTAGGGGTTTAGGGTTTAGGGTTTAGGGTTTAGGGTTTAGGGTTTAGGGTTTAGTGTTTGGGGTTTGGGGTTTGGGGTTTGGGGTTTAGGCTCTAGAATTTTGGGGTTTCGGGTTTACATGTTGGGGTTTAGGGTTTGGGGTTGAGGGCCTAGGGTTTTTACGGCTTACGGCCTGGGATTCTTGGGATGTTCCCCCTTATACTAGCAGTCCTTAATAAGGATAATAGTACCCCCTCTTATAATCCCTATCAAGGACTGTTGGTATATGGGAGAACATCCCAACCGAACCCTAAACCCGAAACCCTAAAGCCTAAACCCAGCGGCCTCCAGGGTTTAGGATTTACGGCTTTCTTGAGGTTGTGGGGTTTAGGGTTTAGGGTTCAGGGTTTAGGGTGTAGGGTTTAGGGTCTAGGGTCTAGGGTGTAGGGTTTAGGGTCTAGGGTTTAGGGTTTAGGGTTTAGGGTTTAGGGTTTAGGGTTGAGGGTTGAGGGTTTAGGGTTTAGGGTTTAGGGTTTAGGGTTTAGGGTTTAGGGTTAGGCTGGGTTTCCGTGATTTCCCTGAGCCTGAAGCCATCAATCTCGAAAGCCGGCAAACCCTTCACTTACGCCCTAGCATGGCCAAAACCCCTAAACCCAAAGCCCTGAACCCTAAACCCTAAACCATGAACCCTAAACCCTGAACCCTGAAGCCTAAACCCTGAACCCTAAACCCTAGACCCTAAACCCTAAACCCTAGACCCTAAACCCTAAACCCTAAACCCCAAACCCTAAACCCTAAACCCAAACCCTAAACCCTAAACCCATGCCCTGGCGCCCAACAAGCACACACAACACGCAAGCCCCAAACCCGCAAGCCCCGAGACTCTAGCCCTCATACCCTCCCAACCACTAAACCCCTAGGGTTTAGGGTTTAGGATTTGGGGTTTAGCGTTTAGGGTTTAGGGTTTAGGGGTTCAGGGTTTAGGGCTTCGCGTTTAGGGCTTAGGGTTCAGGATTTAGGGCTTAGGGTTTCAGGATTTAGGGTTTGGGGATTGGGGTTTAGGGTTCAGGGTTTAGGGGCTTACTGGGGGGTTTAGAGCTTCTTCTTCTTCTTCTTTTTATTCTTCTTCTTCTTCTTCTTCTTCTTCTTCTTCTTCTTCTTCTTCTTCTTCTTCTTCTTCTTCTTCTTCTTCTTCTTCTTCTTCTTCTTCTTCTTCTTCTTCTTCTTCTTCAGGAGCGGCCCAGCCCTGTGGGCATACCCCGGAATTCACGAAGCCCTAAACCTTAACACCCTAAAACCCGACAACCGCTGAACCCTAAACCCTGAGCCCAAAACCCCTGAACCCCAAAACCGTAAACCCGATAACCCCAAACCCTAGGCCGCAGCGCCAGGCCCTAAAACCTCAACCCCTAACCCTAAACCCTAAACCCCCAAACCCTGAACCCTAAACCGGAAATCCTGAACTCCTGAAGCCCCTCGCGCTCAAAGTTCTCAGGTCCCTTATTATTTGTGGGCCTGTACTTGGGGAACCCTGCTATACCCCTTCTATACCCCGAAAACCCATGGCCCAAACCCTAAACCCTATAAACCTTGAAAGCTTAGTTGCTGAGTTCTTAAGCCCCCCAAAAAGTGTACTCTTTCAGTTCTAGAGGGGGTTATAGTATCCCAAAAAGTGTAAAGTGCACTCACTCAGCTACTAAGAAAGAAAGCAACAAGCGACCAATGTAACTTCCTTGAGAAAGTTCAAAGCACCTGCGGGTTCGCGCGGTTCTTCAACAGAACCTGGACAAGCCTTGAGACAATGTTAGGGTTTAGGGTGTAGCGTTTAGGGTTTCGGGTTTAGGGTTTAGGGTTTAGGGTTTGGGGTTTAGGGTTTAGGGTTTAGGGTTTAGGGTTTAGGGTTTAGGGTTTAGGGTTTAGGGCTTCGGAATTAGGGTTTGGGGGACTTGCTGGCTCTTAGGGTAGGAGGGAGAGCAGCTGAGGGCGTTCTAGGGTCGGAGATGGAAAGACATCTTGCACCATGCGAGGAACCCTAAACCCCTTAAAGGGGGGGTTTAGGGTGCAGGGTTTAGGGTTAGGGGCTAGGGGTTAGGGCTTTAGGGCTTAGGGCCCAGGTTACATCTGAGAACCCCTTATATACCCTATACAAATTAAGGGTACATACATCAAAACCCTACAAAGGAGGTTGCGGACCATATTTAAGGGCCCATGAAACTACCCTCAGAGAAACCCGAAACCCGAACCCAAAACCCCTGCTCCTAAACCCACTTAAGACTGGCTGGTCATGGGCGGAGGAAGATGATAATCCAAGACCAAATCCTTCATATTCCCCTAAACCCTAAACCCTAAACCCTAAACTTCTCAAGACAAGTTGCAGAAGGGGGCACGGGGGGTGAGGCAACTTATGTGTGCTTCAAGTGGCGCAAGGCTTACAGGGGACTTCGCCCCGTATTTCTTTTTCTACTGTTTTTTAGGGTTTCGGGTTTAGGCTTTAGGCTTTAGGGTTTAGGATTCAAGCCGAAACCCTGAACCCCGCGACCATATGAAACACAGCATTCTTGAGCCCAATCCCCTAAACCCCTAAACCCTAGATCCGAAACCCTAAACCCTACACCCTAAACCCTAAACCCTAAACCCGAACCTTTGGGCGAGCAGAGGGGCTGCGGATCGCCCAGACCAGCAGCCACGTGAAGGGGGAAGGTCCGCTCTGGCCTAGGCATAGACAGGGTTCAGGGTTCAGGGTTCAGGGTTCAGGGTTTAGGGTTTAGGGTTTAGGGTTTAGGGTTTAGGGTTTAGGGTTTAGGGTTTAGGGTTTAGGGTTTAGGGTTTAGGGTTTAGGGTTTAGGGTTTAAGGTCTAGGGTTGTTCAGGGTTTAGGGTGTGGGGTTTTGGGGTTGGGGTTTTTCAGGGTTTATGCTTTTTAGGGTCTTTTCGGGTTCGAGTATAGGGTTTAGGGTTTTCAGGGTTTCCAGGGTTTAGGGGGTAGGCTAGGGCTGAGGGTTTAGGATTTCGAGTTCAAGGTTTTGGGGGTTTAGGGTTCAGAGTTCGAGGGTGAGGGTTCAGGGGTTCGGGGTTCAGCGTTGGGGGTGAGGTTTAGTCCTGAATAGGCCCTGAAACTGCCCTAAACCTCAACCCTCAAACGTAAGCCCCAAGCCCTAAACCCTACACCAAACCCTGAGCCTGAGAACTTAGGGTTTAGAGTTTAGGGTTTAGGGTTTAGGGTTTAGGGTTTAGGGTTTAGGGTTTAGGGGTTCTAACCCCAAACCATGTACCCTCAAGCCCCGGACCCCCAGGAAACTGCACTTCTAAGCCGGCCTCGAAGTCTGGTACAGAGGACCCTGAGTAGAGCCCACATAGCACCCCAAACCCTAAACCCTAAACCCTAAACCCTAAACCCTAAACCCTTAAACCCTAAACCCTAAACCCCGAACCCTTGGCCTGAAGAAGCTCCAGCAGGAAGAGCGTATCCTGGGTTCCGTGACATCCTCTGAGAACTGGTGGGCCTTCGGCTTCGGCTTTTGGGGTTTGGGGTTTAGGGTTTGGGGTTTAGGGTTTAGGGTTTAGGGTTTAGGGTTTAGGGTTTAGGGTTTAGGGTTTAGGGTTTAGGGTTTAGGGTTAGGTTTAGGGTTTAGGGTTTAGGGTTTAGGGTTTAGGGTTTAGGGTTTAGGGTTTAGGGTTTAGGGTTTAGGGTTTAGGGTTTAGGGTTTAGGGTTTAGGGCTGTAGGGATCTAGGCTTTTGGGCTTTGGACATGTACTCTGCAAAAGGATTGCTAAGCCAAGCACATTGCCTCGTAGTCTGCTCCGGCAAGGTCGATCATTCTAAAAGGCTTGGTTGCGGCCGGGCGGCGGGTCAAACTGTAAACACAGAAACCCCCGAACAACCCTGAAACCCCAAACTCCCTAAACCCCGGCGCCCCCAAAACATCTTCAGGAAGATCCCTTAAGCAGACGAACGTTGCCAATCCTCATTTCTTGGGATGGTCCGTATTCATCCTTAATCCCTAAACCCTGAACCCTGAACCCTAAACCCTGAACCCGAAGCCCTAAACCCTAAACCCTAAACCCTAAACCCTAAAACCCTGAACCCCATCTCCCATGGCCTGGAGGAACTCGCGCAGGTCCCGCGCGCACTTTTCGGACTCCAGGTGCCTCCGCTTTCGCTGCGGATCCTTGTCTGTCTCTTCGTCTCGCAGCTCCTCGCCGCTCCGGGGCTTGCGGGGAAAGAGGGGCTTGCAAGGCATTTAATGCCCTAAACCCTAAACCCCAAACCCTAAACCCTACACCCTAAACCCAAACCCTAAACCCTAAACCCGTAAACCCCTAACCCCTAAACCCCCTAAACCCCTAAACCCTATACGGATTTGAACGGAGGTTTAGGGTTCGGGTACTCGGGTTTAGCTGCTACTCTGAAAGCCGTTTCGAAACCTCATCTACCGGCGTGCTGCACGATGCCATCCGGTGAATGTTCATCTCCCAACATCTCCTAACAGTCGATATACGATTCCAACGACAAACATAATAAGCAATGACAACAATGATCACAAGGGTAATGAGAATAGCAAGGGTCATGGTAGAAAACAACAAGCAAAGTAGCTAACAAATAGCAACAATCATGATCATCATGGGCTTAGGGTTTAGGGTTTAGGGTTTAGGGTTCAGGGTTCAGGGTTCAGGGTTTAGGGTTCAGGGTTCAGGGTTTAGGGTTTAGGGTTTAGGGTTTAGGGTTTAGGGTTTAGGGTTTAGGGTTTAGGGTTTAGGGTTTAGGGTGACTCCTGTAAGATCTCCAGGTCGAGGAAGTGGGGAAGCTGGGTCGGAGCAGGGGCTGCGTTCGCCATGGCAAGGCAAGCGGCAAGGACGAACTGCTTGAGCCTTACGAAGGGACCAACAGTGCTGGGTGTAGAGACTTAGGGGATTAGGGTTTAGGGTTTAGGGGTTAGGGTTTAGGGTTTAGGATTTTAGGGTTTGAGGCGAAACCCTGAGCCTTAAACACGTACGGTTTTGGTAGCAAGTGCCAAGCCGGATGCGGGCGGGCAGAGCCCATCCACTCATGATGACTGGGCAGAATATGGTGGAATACTCCTACCCCCCCCCCCCAAAAAAAAAAAAAAAATCCTAAACGCCCTAAACCCTAAACCCTAAACCAAAAACCCTAAGCCATCTCGAATTCCCAAGCCGCTACTGCGACCGCGAAAAAAAAAACACAGTGCCCTAAACCCTAAACCCTAAACCCGGAACCCTAAACCCTCAAACCAGTCCACCTCTCTCCTCTCTTGGCTTTGGGGAACCCGAAACCCGAAATCCTCAGCCCTAAACCCTAAACCCTAAACCCTAAACCCTAAACCCTAAACCCTAAACCCACCACGTCCGAACCCCCCGAACCCAAAGCCTGCAGGAGCTGCTCCAGACGGTCAGGGCTGGGACCTTAGGGTTTAGGGTATAGGGTTTAGGGTATAGGGTATAGGGTATAGGGTTTAGGGTTTAGGGTTTAGGGTTTAGGGTTTAGGGTTTAGGGTTTAGGGTTTAGGGTTTAGGGCCTAGGAGATTGCATGCCGCTTAAGGCTTAGGGCTTAGGGCTTAGGGCTTAGGGCTGAGGATTTAGGGTTTGGGGTTTAGGGTTTAGGGTTTAGGGCTTAGGGTTTAGGATTTAGGGTGTAGGGTTTAGGGCCCAGCGGCAGTGTTCGCTTCCATCTTCCATGGCCCTCAAGCACGCTAAAGGTACGGGGTCTTAGTAGGGAATGGGGGGATGAGGCAGAACCCTAAACCCTAAACCCTAAACCCTAAACCCTAAACCCTAAACCCTATATTATATGTTCTCGTTTAAGGGGTCCTCTAGGGTAGCTACTTGATTCAGTCCCTACTAAGAATCATCATTCCCTAGTAAGAACCAGTCGAAAAGCCTTGAGAATCGCCAGACTGAGTAAGTAGTGAATCGGCAGTGCCTTTCAAGAAGATCGCCCCAACTAAGGTGCCTTTTTAGGTTTAGGGCTTAGGGCCGGGCATTGAAAAGTCTAGTTACTTCGTACTAAGCCACTCGAATCCTCTAAGCAATTAAGCCCCAAACCCCAAACCCCAAACCCCAAACCCCAAACCCTAAACCCTAACCCCAAACCCCCAAACCCCAAACACTTAAGCCAACACTCTAAACACCAAACCCTAAAACTTCAACATCCCACAAGGAGCCTCCGCCATCGGGCCACAAAGCGGCGATCAAGTGATGAATGCCTTTGCGACGTTTGGGGTGTGATGTTTAAGGCTTCAGGGTTCGAAGGTTAGGGATTAGTTGAGGATTTGGAGGTAGGTAGGTAGGTAGGTAGGTAGGCAGGTAGGCAGGTAGGGTTTAGAGTGTAGGGTTTAGGATTTAGGATTTAGGCTGTAGGGTTTAGGATTTAGGGTTTGGGGTTTAGGGTTTAGGGTTTAAGGTTTTTAGGGTTTAGGTAGATTGGTCAGAACCGCTTTTGATGAAGCTCGGTGCAACCGGTTGGTGCTTCATGCGGCTTTTCCCGTTCACAAAACCAAGGCCAGTGACTGTGACAGTGCTGTTGAGCAGCGGGCCCACATCCTCAGCAGTCCCGACGGTCACTGACTGCATTAGCAGCCTGTCGTTTCACAGTATTTCTGATCTGGTCCACGGCAACCGGTGGGATGTTCCACGTGCTATGAACGTACGCCGCCATTGTGCTCAATGATGTCAGCACCAGTACATTCAGTCAAAGACACCTGACTGACACACCTTATCTACCCTGTCCCCGTTGACCTAGTTGGTCTTTAGCTGCCGTTTCTAAGCCTTCTTTAACCCTAAACCCTGTACCCTCTAAACCCCAACCTAAAGCCTGCCGGACAAAAGAACTCTGCAAAAGAAACTGAGCCCTCAACATGCAGAACCCCAAAACCCTAAGCCCGAGACCTTAATATCCCAACCCTAAGGCCTGAAACCCTAAAACCGGAATCTGCAAACCTGATTATAAGGTTCTTGCGGGAGGGGGTTCATGGGGGAAGGAGCCTAGGGAACCTTAGGGAAGCTTAGGGAGCCTTTGGCAAGAGTGATAAGTGTCAGCGAACCTTGGGTTACATACCCTCCTGAGCCCCCCTCCCTGAAGAACCCGTGAACCTGAACCATGAACCCAGAACATGTTTAAACCGTCTGTAGAACCGAAAGCCCTGAACCCCCCCCCCTCCCTCAAAAAAAACAACTACACTCCCGAAACCCTTTAAACCCTCAACCCCAAAGTCCTAAAGTCTGAGACCCTAAACTCTATAACCCCCAAATCCTAGCCCTAAACCCTAAACCCTAAACCCTAGCCCTAAACCCTAAACCCTCAAACCCTTTGAACCCTGAGCAACCCAACTCTCTGAGGCCGGCAATGAATCAAGAGGTCGGTGGAGGCACAGGGCCTGCGCCTGGCGCGGGGAGCGGTTTTGGGGTTGTTATGTTTAGGGTTTAGGGTTTAGGGTTTGGGGTTTGGGGTTTAGGGTTTAGGGTTTAGGGTTTAGGGTTTAGGGTTTAGGGTTTAGGGTTTAGGGTTTAGGGTTTAGGGTTTAGGGTTTAGGGTTTAGGGTTTAGGTTTGGAGGTTTGAGGTTGATGGACCCCGCTGTCACCTGCGTCTCCTCAGGCACTGGCGGCCAGGTGAATCGCGCCTCACGGACCTGCGCTTGAGGTGCTGCATTTGGACGTTCATGGGCACTGATAACCCCAATTATAACTGTACTTATAAACGCCCTGAGCCCCCTAAGTAGGTTATAAGTAGACTTATAAGTAGGGTGATAAGTATCCACGAACCTCCAGGTAGAAACGCTCAGGGTTCAGGTTCTGCATGCCACCTTACGAACCCTAATTACCAAGTCAAAAAGGCTCAGAATTCAGGGTTTCAGGCTTGGACAGCGCAGGGGCTAAGTGGTGGCGGGGAAGGGGCTGGGAGGGGGGGAGAGGGATTCGTGAGCGGGGAGGTTTGCGGTTCGGGGTGAGTTGCAGATGGGTGCAAACGACACAAAGGTGTAACCCTAAAACCCCGCAAAACCCCCAAACCCTCAACTCGTTGTCATTATTCTCATTAGAGTTCTAGCTGCATACGTACTGCAATGCAATGCAATGCAACGCAAATCAAAGCAATGCAATGCAATGCAAATCAAAGCCATGCAATGCAATGCAATGCAATGCAGTGCAGTGCAATGCAATGCAATTCAAATCTAATCTAATCTAACCGTAATGCAATGTATACATATCATCACCATCATTGTCAATAGATTCAATGCTGTATTTCCTATGAATACTGTTCTACCATTGTCATTAGTTTTGGCACTAGTTCAATCATGATTTCTGCGATTCAATGAATTAAAAAATATTCTTTGTTGCAAATGCAACCTATCATCTTCCTTTCTACACCCAGGAAGTTGAGGCATACGCGCGTGCCTTTCAGGGCTTCGGGTTTAGGGTTTAGGGTTTCGGGTTTCGGGTTTCCAAACCCTAGACCCGAAACCCTAAACCCTGAACTCGACACCCCTAAAGCCCCGCCCCGAAGCAATCCCGAAATCTTAAACCCCCCCCCCGCCCGCCTAAACCCTAAACCCTAATCCCTTTCACACCCTTTAAACCCTAAAACCCCGAACCCTAAACCTGCACGCGACTCTCCCCATGCTCCCCTCTAAACTCTAAACCCTAAACCCCCAACCCTAAACCCTAAAACCCTCAACCCTAAACCCTAAACCCCTAAACCCTAAACCCTAAACCCTAAACCCCAAACCCTAAACTCCCCAGGTTCCACCTCGGCCGCTGTCAATGAGCAGAGTGCCGCCCAGTAGAAAATCGCGGGGAACTCGAGCTGGCCCTCCTGTAACAGGGTTCTTAAACGAGGGGGGGGGTTTGGGGTTTAGGGTTTCGGGTTTAAGGTTTAGGGTTTAGGGTCTAGGGTTTAGGGTTTAGGGTTTTGGGTTTAGGGTTTACGGTTTAGGGTTTTGGGTTTCGGGTTTAGGGTTTAGGGTTTAGGGTTTAGGGTTTAGGGTTTAGGGTTTAGGGTTCCAACAGGGCCGGTCGATTTGGAAGGGCCAAGGCCAAGGCCAAGGCCGCGCGGGCGTGGGCCAGGACACGGCATTGGCCCCAAAGCCTGACCAACAGGGCCGGTCGATTTGCTGCCATTAAAGTTAAAACAAGACCAAGCAGAGACCCTTGAGTGCCCAACAGGGCCGGTCGATTTGCCGTGGCCAAGGCCAAGGCCAAGGCCGCGCGCGCGCGCGCGCGCGCGGGCCAGGACAAGGCCAGACGCTTGAGCGCTCAACAGGGCCGGTCGATTTGGAAGGGCCAAGGCCAAGGCCAAGGCCGCGCGCGCGCGGGCCAGGACAAGGCCAGACCCGCTGGTCGATTTGGAAGGGCCAAGAGTGCCCAACAGGGCCGGTCGCTTTGGAAGGGCCAAGGCCAAGGCCAAGTGCCCAACAGGGCCGGTCGATTTGGAAGGGCCAAGGCCAAAGCCAAGGCCGCGCGCGCGCGGGCCAGGACAAAACCAGACTCAACAGGTCGATCTGGAAGGGCCGAGGCCAAGGCCAAGGCCGCGCGCGCGCGCGGGCCAGGACAAGGCCAGACCCTTGAGTGCCCAACAGGGCCGGTCGATTTGGAAGGGTCAAGGCCAAGGTCAAGGCCGTGTGCGCGCGGGCCAGGACAAAACCAGACCCGCGAGTGCCCAACAGGCCCCGCGCGCGCGTGTGCGGGCCAGGACAAGGCCAGACCCTTTGAGTGCCCAACAGGGCCGGTCGATTTGGAAGGGCCAAGGCCAAGGCCGCGCGCGCGTGGGCCAGGACAAGGCCAGACCCTTGAGTGCCCAACAGGGTTTAGGGTTTGGGGTTTGGGGTCCCTTATCAGAACCCTACCACCTCTATAGCCTGGAAAACAAGATCGTAGGGATCTCAACACTCACAGACCTGAATCCAAAAGCCCATGAAAACCCGAGCTTGGGATGTTTCCCCCTTATACTAACGGCCCTTCATAGGGATGATTGTAGGGTTTACCATAATCCCTATCCCAGACCACAAACCACTTAGGGTTATCCCCCAGAATTGGGGCTTGGTCCCTAAACCCTAAACCCTAGACCCTGAAGCCGAGGATCCTCTATAAATGATGGGTGGAACCTAAACCCTGACCGCTAGACAAGGTCATATCCCTAAACCCTAAACCCTAAACCCTAAACATATAAAGAGCGGGCAAGGTCATATGAAAAGCGAGCAATGTCGTATGAAGAGCGGGCAGGGTTTAGGGTTTAGGGTTTTGGGTGTGGGGTTTAGGGTTTTAGGGTTTTAGGGTTTAGGGTTTAGGGGTTTAGGGTTTAGGGGTTTAGGGTTTAGGGTTTAGGGTTTAGGGTCTAGGGTTTAGGGTTTAGGGTTTAGGGTTTAGGGTTCAGGGTTTGATTCATTTTTAACATACAGCAGGCAGGGTCATACCAGGACGTGTTCATCGACTTCTCAGAGCTAATCGGCCTCTCAGTGCTAACCGGCCTCTCAGTGGCTGTTCCCCAAACTACATGTACGTACTGCGTGCAAATTAAACATCAATTTCTGAGTTTGAAAGGATAATACATGGACAAACTTTGCTGGGCGGTCTGGACGACGTGCTATACGGATTGGTTGCTTCGCTCCTTCCGAGACTAAGCTGTGCTGTGTTTATTGACTGACAAAAATGCTCAAAAGTCTTCCTTGTTGGCCAAAATATATAACTGCTCTGTGCTACATGCTCTATGAGGGTTTGGGTCGGCGTTAGTGATTTGTTTGTCGGTTATGTGCTGTTTCTTTGCCGCAGTGTATCGCCCCACAAAAGCCGTTCGCTCTGGGCGCCGCGGCATGACGAAACAAAATGAAAACTGAAATAGCATTTAGGGTGACAGTTTCAGCGCGTCTACGAAGAGATGGACAAGAACAACCACGAATCACCCAGCTATGTACCGGAGCAATCTGACACACCAACCGGCAGTTTACGTAGACACAAACAATTTTTACACCGAATGACATAACATTCCTTCAACAAAACAAACCATTCTGCAAAGCAAGCTGTCCCTGGCGCGCACAGGCAGATGGTCACGACGCGAGATGTGTCAGTTGGTTCCAGCACATGCATTAACATGCGCACGCATGACGCTGCCAGCTTCTGAGAGTCTTCAGTCCGTTCGGGTGTTGTTTTGGTTTGCCCTGGATCTTCTTGGATCTTCTTGGTTTCGAGCTTTTCGCCCCTTAGGTAAGGGCTTGTGATTGGACATCTATCCGATACGATCACTTCCAGTTCGGGTTGTCGGGGCTCTGTCTCGTCGTTTTTCCGGATATCAACACACATTCTCCTTGCACATTCAGTGTTGGAGCTTTGTCTGTAGTCCATGCTGCTTTTTTGTATCCCCCGGTGTCCGGGGTCCGTGTATACTTCGGCCAAAAATTTACCTTTTTTTCGGTCTTGCAGATGTTCCCTCTAAGTCTTTTCAAGTTTGGAACTCCCTTGTTTATGCTGTGACTTCGGATCTTTGCAGCTTTGGTCGTTTTCCTTTGTGAAAGCCCATCGGCAACATAAACGTTAACAGAAGCAAAAACATGCCGAGAGTCAGAGAAGCGTTAAACCGTCGCGAGAATGGTTTACAGCAGGAGATGTGAGGAGGGCAGTATGTGAACGCAAACGCGGCCAGGGGATGAACGCGGACAGCACATCCACAGCACGGGGTACATGGGGTACACGGGGTGCACGGGCCGGGTGCACGGGGTGCACGGGGTGCACGGGGTACACGGGGTACACGGGGTGCACGGGGTACACGGGGTACACGGAGTACACGGGGTGCACGGGGTGCACGGGGTATACACGGGGTACACGGGGTACACGGGGTACACGGGGTACACGAGGTACACGGGGTACACGGGATAGGTCCACGGGGTGCACGGGGTGCACGGGGTGCACGGGGTACACTGGGTACACGGGTGCACGGGGTACACGGGGTACACCGAGTACACGGGGTGCACGGGGAACACGGGGTACACGGGGTACACAGGGTACATGGGGTACACGGGGTAATGGGGTGCACGGGGTGCACGGGGTGCACTGGGTACACGGGGTACACGGGGTGCACGGGGTACACGGGGTACACGGGGTACACGGGGTACACGGGGTGCACGGGGTGCACGGGGTGCACTGGGTCCACGGGGTACACGGGGTGCACGGGGTACACGGGGTACACGGGGTACACGGGGTACACGGGGTACACGGGGTACACGGGGTACACGGGGTACACGGGGTACACGGAGTACACGGGGTACACGGGGTGCATGGGGTACACGGAGTACACGGGGTGCACGGGGTGCACAGGGTGCACGGGTAGACGGGGTACACAGGTTCACGGGGTACACTGGGTTGACTGTGTATACAAGCGGGTACACAGAAAAAGTCCGGGGCGGGGGGGGGGGGGGGGTGAAAAAAAAAAAACAGGCCCCCAGTCTCCGCCAATCGACCGTGTACTACCGTGTATCTGCGTGTATTCGGCTTCTCAGAGAAGGTTTTTGCGTGTATCAGCGTGTAGTTTGAGAATCCCAGCCGTATCAAAAAAAACGCGACGTGCTCGTCCACGCCTGTTCAGCGGCGCCTGCGTGTATCAGCGTGTCGTTGAAATGGAGCAGCCTTTAAAGATTTCGCGAAGTGTTTCCCGCTTCTTTTTTGCAGCAGCACCTTTTCCCATTGCATGCATGCAGCCGGTTTACTCCGCGTGTCCCGTGTACTCGACACTCGGTGAGCGTACTTTACCCGTGTGCTCCCACGCGCGCGGCTCACAGAATCAAACAATCCCGTACGACCCTACCGAAGCCCATGGAAGCAAATCAACATCCTCAAATCAGGGGCTCCGCAGTATGCACCTTGGACAGACAAGCCTAAACGCTGAGATTTTCATCTATTTCTATTCTGTCGTCCTTGGCTTGGGACATGTGTACACGGTCCCCCACCCCACTCCTTCCCGCCGCCCTGTTCCTTTGCCGCTTCTGCCAAGATGTTGCGTGAAGTCCCTGACCTGGTCCAAATCTATTGAAATTTGTGCCAAAACCCTTCGCAAGCCACCGGAGCATACCTTAAAGCAAACATGGATTGGGGGGGTTTAGGATTTATGGGTTTAGGGCTTAGGCGGTAGGGGCAAGCTTAAAAAACCAGGTTAGGGCTTAAAATATCAGGGTTTAAAGCTTAAGGGTTGAAGTTTTGACTTGAAAGCTATAAGGTTTAGGTTTAGGTTTAGGCTCAAGTCTTTGAGATCAGCCCCCAAACCTCCCTTAAAGGCCCTAAGCCCCATAAGTCTGCTGAGCCAACTAATCTTCCCCAGGCACCCTAAGGGCCCCAAGCCCTTAAGTTCTCTAAGCCCCTTGCCCCTTGAGCCACTTAAGCTCCCTTGCGCCCCCTTTGAGCTCCCTTAAGCCCCTTTAAGCCCCATCAGGCCCCCAGCCCTCCAAAAGCAAGCAGTTACGCAACCCAGATCTCTGAACCCTTAAATTTCAACCCCCAAGCCCCCCAAGTTAAGTAACCCAGGCCTCGGAACCTTAAAAACTTCAACCAGCCAACGTGGGGAGATGCGAAAAAAGTTGTGCCTTACCAGTATGCTTGCTCGAAGCCCCGGAAGCCAATCCAAATGTTGTCAGCTGGCAAGGAACTTCTACTTGTGTGTGTTTTGCCAACATGTTGGGAAAGTCGTGTAGCTGATGCATTTCCGTTCACGGGTTCTTTGTTTTGGGTATGTGGCTGCGCCACTGTTCTCGCCAATCGGTTTTTTTGAGGCCCCAAAATCAACCCCCAAAGCGATTTTGTAGCAGAATTGTCAAACCTATGATTTTTAGCGAACCCCCCCATGGTTTAGGTTGAACCCTAAGTAGGGGGTTCCCCCCCCCCGGCTCCAGATGAATACTCCATAGTCCAGACTATTTCGTTAAGAAGGTGGGCAGCTCCAGTCGCACTATAGAATGCATGACTTGATACTAGTATGGCACACTTTCTTGCTCTCGCATTCTTCCTCTCTCTCTCTCTCTCTTCTTTTTTCCTCTCTCTTTCTCTCTACATATTTTTATATGCATATGAATATCTATATCTATATCTGCATATACATATATATGTACGTTTCTGTGTGGCAAACCGAAATTTTAAAGTGGACCCCGCTCAGGATTCGATCGCAGAACATCCGGGGGGTCGCTAGAAGCACATCGCAAGCTACGCCTTTCCTGACATGGCACTCTTTGTTGCTGTCGTGTCGCCTCGATCGGCCCAGTGGAATCAGTGATTTTTTCCTGCCGTTTCTGTCAATCTCCTTTTACAGAGCAATGTTTCTGACATCGACAAGCGGCTCTCGTACATGTTTACTGTGTGATGCTCAAGATTTTGGCATGTACTGTGCGACATGGGAATAAAGTGGCGCGGGCAACGCCATGTCACATATATACCCTACTTGTTCGTTTTCAGCTGAGTGAATTGTTGCTGACCACTGAGGAGTCGATTAGCTCTCCGGCTTCTCAGTGGCTAAAGCGCATAAACGGCTTCTCAGAGAGGTCTGACAACACGTCCTGGTATGGACCGCTCTTGATACGACCTTGCCCGCTCTTGATGTGTCCTTGCGCGCTCTTTGTATGACTCCGGACCCCCTCCTGCCCCCCTCCGCCCCCCCCCCCCCCCCCCCCCCCCCCCCCCCCCCCCCCCCCCCCCCCCCCCCCGCCAACCCCGCCCCCTCCCGCCCTCCCCCCACCCCCAAACCCCGAGCTTTGTCAACAGGGGTGCGGGGAACCCGAGACACCCGTTCCAGGAGGGGGCCGGGCATAGCCCATATTGAGAAACTCCCCATGGAATTGGCACCGCGAAAGAACTAAGAACTTGAAGTGGGTGCCTTAAGGCCTAAGGAGCCTGAGGTTTTACGGATTGAATGAACTGCATAGTTTCTTGATGTTATGGGCGGGTGAGATTGTCCCATCACTTGAAAGGTTGCAAGCTAGAACATGAGATGCTGACCTCCAAACCCTAAAACCCTAAACCCTAAACCCTGAACCCTAAACCCTAAACCCTAGACCCTAAACCCTAAACCCTAAACCCTAAACCCTAAACCCTAAACCCTAAATAAACCCTAAACCCTAAACCCTAAACACCCCCCGCTCCACCCCCCGCCTCGTGGAGACCCCGCAGGGCCCGCACAGCCGGAAGCTCCGAGCCGGCGACGGCCTTTGGGGCTTTAGGGGGGCTTTAGGGTGTGTAGGGGGTTTAGGGTTTGGGGTTTAGGGTTTTAGGGTTTAGGGTTTTAGGGTTTTAGGGCTTTAGGGTTTTAGGGTTTTAGGGTTTTAGGGTTTTCGGGTTTAGGGTTTAGGGTTTAGGGTTTAGGGTTTAGGGTTTAGGGTTTAGGGTTTAGGGTTTAGGGTTTAGGGTTTAGGGTTTAGGGTTTAGGGTTTAGGGTTTAGGGTTTAGGGCTTCAGGGTTCGGGGTTTAGGGCGTTTAGGGCTTATAGGGCTTCAGGGTTTGGGGCTTGAAGGCTTCAGGGGTCAAGGTTTAGGGCTTCTAGGGGCCCCCAGCGGCTTGGGGATTCAGGGTAGGGTTGAGGGTTTAGGGTTTAGGGTTTAGGGTTTAGGGTTTAGGGTTTAGGGTTGAGGGTTGAGGGTTTAGGGTTTAGGGTTTAAGGTTTAGGGTTGAGGGTTGAGGGTTGAGGGTTTAGGGTTTAGGGTTTAGGGTTTAGGGTTTAGGGTTTAGGGTTTAGGGTTTAGGGTTTCGGGTTTAGGGTTTAGGGTTTAGGGTTTAGGGTTTAGGGTTTAGGGTTTAGGGGGACACTTTGGCAAGCACGCCGGCCTCAATGAGGGGATACTCCAGGAGGATTCTCTCCTCGGCTGGACTCTTCTGTAAGCCTCCCTCACCAGCCTGATTATTCAAGCAACATTCTGGCACGGTTCGTCCCAGTCCCTAAACCGTAAACCCCAAACCCTAAACCCCAATCCCTACTCCCCAAACCCTAAAACTAGCAGGCCAGAACTCTATCCCAAAGCATCTACTTGAACGTTAAAAATAGGGTCATTCATGCGAAATTTACTCTACCCTTAAACCCCTTGCTGCTTGTTACTCCCCACAAGACCTTCAAAGACACCCTAAACCACCTCCAAGAAGCATGCGACGTACCTTCAAGTACACCTCAGCCCTCAACCCCACACCCTTCCACCCTTCCACCCTTCCACCCTTCCACCCTCAACCCTAAACCCTAAATCCTAAACCCTAAACCCTAAACCCTAAACCCTAAACCCTAAACCCTAAACCCTAAATCCTAAACCCCAAAACCCCTAAGCCCCGAAGCTCTAAACCCTACAGAGCTGGGCCGGGACGCACCTGCTTCGAAGTCGCGCTCGGCCAGGAGAACTCGGCCTTTGCCCTGCGAGACTTACCACAGGGTTTAGGGTTTAGGGTTTAGGGTTTAGGGTTTAGGGTTTAGGGTTTAGGGTTTAGGGTTTAGGGTTTAGGGTTTAGGGTTTAGGGTTTAGGGTTTAGGATATCGGTACGTCCCCAAAACAACACCCCATGCATGCACCCAGCACACCAAAAACAATCCGCCTACCCCAACAGACCAGGGAGAGGGTTTGGGCGGGTTTTAGGGCTGTAGGGCTTTTAGGGCTTCAGGATTTTGGGGTTTAGGGTTTTCGGGCTTCAGGGCTTAGGGGCTTTGGGTTTAGGGCTTTCGGGCTTTTTTGAAGACTGTAGAGCTTCAGGGTCAAATTCGGTATCCTGCTCCTGAGGGGGCATCAAAAAAACTAAACGCTAACCCTAAACCCTAAACTCTTCTTGCAAGCTCTTGTGACTTAGTTACGTTTAGGGTTCAGGGTTTAGGTTTTAGGGAGAGTAAATCTACTTAGAAACTTAGTATCTCCTCTTTTTATCCTCATAACCCACCTTACTAACCCTTCTTGGTAAGTCAAAAGGGCTTCCAAGTTGGCACGCCCTGACTCTTTGTCCAGCCTCGACAATGGCAACCGAAACGCTGCCGCCATGGTAGGTGCACACCTAAGATTGAGGTTTAGGGTTTAGGATGGTTTAGGACGAGAACAAGTTGTCCGGCATCTTCCAACTGACGGTCTGGGGCTTAACCCAAACCCTACCGCAAACCCCGAAACCCTACACCCTAGAGCCCTACCCTAAACCCTAAACCCTAAACCCGAAACCCTATTCCAAGATTTCAGGCTTCTGGGTTGCAACATCATCTCTGACGTGGAGATGAAGGTTAAGATGGTGAGCCTACTAGATCACGAACGGTGCAAGCTCCTTGCAACCTTGCGTGCCAGGCCCCTCTTAACGAGCTTTGTGTTTAGGGGTTCAGGGTTGGCTTGTGGCGTTTAGGGTTTTAGGGGTTTATGAGTGAGTGAGTGAGTGAGTGAGTGAGTGAGTGAGGAGTGACTGCCAATTGGGTGGGTAGTTGGCAGCCGTGCCTAAGGCGCTATCCCTCCTGCTTTCTCAGGGGGCTCCGATACGTCATTGCCCCCGATTGGAATTCAGGCTGGCTGCGCCCCCCGGGTTCCGAAACGTCATCACCCGAGGTAATCCTAAACCCTAAACCCTAACCCTGAACCCTAAACCCTAAACCCTAAACCCCAAACCCAAGCTTGACGGTTTAGGTGCCAAGGCTTCACTACGGCTTCGAGCTCAAGGTTATCCTGTGAGGCTTCTCCTTTACCACGCCTGTATGGGGAAACCTACACGCCTGGGCCCGGAACAGGTGCTTCTTCTCGAGCTTCGGGCCTTAAACCCTAAGCCCTAAACCCTAAACTCCAGACCCTAAACCCTAAACAACCCGACACAGACGAACCTGCAAGCATGAAACCGCAAAAAAAGGAGCCTAAGCCCAAAACATCCGAAGCACAAAACCAAAAGCATAACGTGAGCTCCGGGTTTCGGATTGAGGGTTCAGGGTTTACGGTTTAGGGGTTTATGGTTTCATCCGGGTTCAGGGTTGAACCCTAAACCCTAAATACCAGCCCTAAACCCCAAACCCTAAACCCTAAACCCGACACTGGCGTTCTGTGAGCTGAAAGCCGGACGTGGCTGGAAAGCGTGTCAAAGGCATCGTCTCCTGTCGGGGCGACGATCTGTGGGCAGAGACGGGTTTAGGGTTTAGGGTTTAGGGTTTAGGGTTTAGGGATTAGGGTTTAGGGTTTAGGGTTTAGGGTTTAGGTTTAGGGTTCAGGGTTCAGGGTTCTGGGTTTAGGGCTTAGAGCAACTGAGGGTTCAGGGTTGAGGGCTGATTAGGGCTGAGGGTAAGGGCTTTATGGGTTTTATGAGGTTTTTAGGGTTTTTCAGGGCTTTCAGCAACTGAGGTCGCGAATTCGAACTTGCGTAGGCTCTGCTTGAAGCTCAGCTAGGGTTTAGGGTTGAGGGTTTATGGTTTAGGGGTTTAGGGTGGTCCTTTAATATGGCCCCTTACCTTCTTTCAAGTGTGAAGTATGGGCCCCTAGGGTATATATGGGGTATATGTGGGGTATATATGGGGTATATATGAGGTATATAAGGTGTATATAAGGGGGTATATGTGGGGTATATATGGGGGTATATAAGGTGTATATAAGGTGTATATAAGGGGGTATATAAGGGGTTGGGCAGCTAGGGCTTTTGGGGTTTGGGGTTTAGGGTTTAGGGTTTAGGGTTTCGGGTTTAGGGTTTAGGGTTTAAGGTTTGGGGTTTAGGGTTTTTGGGTTTAGGGTTTAGGGTTTAGGGTTTAGGGCATATGGGGTAAATATGGGTCCCATGTACGGGCCCATCTGAAGGGACCATGGAACTCCGCCCTTGGAATGCAGCCTTTGGGCTAGGACTCGGACTCCCCACGCCCGCTCCCTCAACCCTAAACCCTAAACCCTAAACCCTAAACCCTGAACCCTAAACCCTCGCCTCCCCTCCCCCCCCCCTCCCGAGGATTTTAGGCTTTCTTACTAGGGTTTGGGAAAGCTCCACAACCCCAAGTAAGAATAGACACCGCACCTAGGTTCGACTCAACCCTAAACCCTAAACCCTAAACCCTAAACCCTAAACAGCTCCTTTGCGAGGTGTCTGTGAGGCGGGGCATTGAAAACTACCCCACCCGGCCGGAATAACCTCCATGAACGTTTTTGGGGGGTAAGTAAGGGTTTAGGGCTTAGGGTTTGCCATCGCCCATGACACGTCAACGAACATTCCCTAAAACCCTTCCGTCCCTAAGCCCTCAACGCATGCTGCCTCCGTGGCAACTCATCGCAAAGCAATGCCATGTGCCAGCAGCGTCGGTGTAAACTCAAATGTCTGGAGCTGTGCATGTGATGGTAAAGCGTTGAGTAGGGTTCAGGGTTTGCATGTGAGGCAAAAGACATGAATCGGGCTTCGAGCTCTCTCCGCACTGTGTTCCCACAGTTGCTTTCGATGAGGCTGTAACCATCGGACGCATGAGCCAGTTCGGGTTTAGGGTTTAGGGTTTAGGGTCTAGGGTTTGGGGTTTAGAGTCTAGGGTTTAGGGTTTAGGGTTTAGGGTGTAGGGTTTAGGGTTTAGGGTTTAGGGAGTAAGTTAGGGTGAGCAAGCTGACATTGGGAATTGACCAAGCTAGGTTGAATGCGGTGGAAAACACGGTGTGGAACTGTGGAACTGGCCTATCCAGTTGCTGTGCTTGCTCTGGACTTAGCTAGTACATACTTGTCTTCCAAGTGCACAATGTCAGCTTCAGATAAGCCTCCATATGGGGGTTTACGAAAATAGAGGACCCCTAACACAGACCCCCACATTTTAGCATTCCCTCAGAATAAGGACCCCAATAAGGTACCCCAAAAACTACGTTGCCTATGTGGGTACTGCAACCACTTCGCCGACTTCAGCGTGGACTTGAACCATGGTCAAGAAAGACATGTTTTATACATGGGGGTTTCCGAAAATCGGGGGTGCCTTATTGGGGTCCTGACTAGAAGGGATCCTACCATTTGGGGGTCTATATGAGGGGCCCCTTATGTTCGCAGAACTCCCATATCGGGAAAGGGACATGCCTCCTCCTGAAATGAAGGCAGAGATTCCTTGATTGTTCTCATTTCGGGTGCGGGGGTGAGACAGTCTTTTCTTCCCCAAGGCTGCGAGGCCACGGGACGGTGTGGGACAGGGGGACAACCCTAAACCCTAAACCCTAAACCCTAAACCCTAACTATGCAGGGCGCGAGATCACGGGACGGTATGAAAGGGGACTATACTGGGTGCGACCTTCGACGGTGGGCTGTCGTGGTACGGGTTTAGGGTTTAGGGTTTAGGGTTTGGGGTTTAGGGTTTAGGGTTTAGGGTTTAGGGTTTAGGGTTTAGGGTTTAGGGTTTAGGGTTTAGGGTTTAGGGTTTAGGGTTTAGGGTTTAGGGGAGATGGGAACCATACGGGACCATGCATGGCGCCAGCTTCGGCAGTGCGATGTCACGGGACGGCACGGGACGTGGTGACCAAGCCGGGAGCGAGCTTCTAAGTTGGCGAAAACCCTAAGCCCGAAACCCTAAACCCTAAACCCTAAACCCTAAAATCCACAAAACCTTTTTCCGAAGCCCCAAGGCAGACCAGGGAGGATGCGAGCATCGGCGGCGGGATGTGACGGGACGGTACGTTCAGAGCACGAGCGGCATGTCACGGAACGGCTCTCTCCAAGAACCCTTCTAGGGTCTAAGGTCATATAAACCCTAAACCCGAAACCCTAAACCCTAAACCCTATATAAGGTTTTCCGCATGGCGCGCCGGCTCGGCTGAAGCTAAAGTGCTCCTGGCCGGAGCTTCCGGAGGTTCCCGGACTTCGGCCACTAGGCGAGATCCTGGACAGACATCAATGCAGGCCCGAGCAGATTCAGTGGATCCCACTTTCTCTTTGTCTGCAAGAGCTCGCGAGCGTCGGGATAGTAGCGCTTGGCACTGGCATTCCAGTGGGGTGTGTTGCGGTACTTCACCGAACTGGGGCACATGCCCTCAAAACTGGTTTCCACGTCGCGCAGGTGCTGGAGGTAAGCTGGGCGGCTGGGGCAGTTGTACTCGTAGTAAATCTGATCGCCAGGGAGCCTGGGGAACGTAAAAATTCTGAAAAACCCTGAAAACCTTAAAACCCTAACAACCCTAAAATCCCTAAAAACCCCCTAAACACCCTAAAAACCCTAGAAACCCTAAAACCCCACAAACCCCAAAAACCCCCAAAAGCCCCAAAAAACACTAAAAACCCTTAAAACCCCAAAAACCCTAAAAACCCTAAAAACCCTAAAAACCCTAAAAACCCTAAAAAACCCTCAAAACCCTAAACCCCAGAGCCTCGAGAACGTCAGCCAGCACCCTGGCTTCCGAAAGGAGTGAAAATGAGCTCGTCGAACAATCGCCGACTGCTGGTCCAGAAGCCTAAGGCGGACCCCTGTGAAACCCTCGAAAAAAATGTCTGTAAACGAGGCGCGCCCAGAAGAGCCCTACCTAAACTCTAGTTTAGGGTCTTAGGGTTTAGGGTTTAGGGCTTAGGGTTTGGGGATTGGGGTTTCGGGTTTAGGGCTTAGGATTTAAACCCGAAATCTTTGACGTGCCGGTGGGGAGCAGGTGCAGGGCATTGTCTGTGCACGAGGAGCCAGTAGGCCAAATCGCTTGCGAGGATACCCAGGCGGCCGGATAGCCCAAGTGTGTAAGATCATCGGGCTTCCTTCGCTGGTTTTGAGGCTGAGGATTGAGGGTTGAGGATTTAGGGTTTAGGGTTGAAATATAAAAAGAAAGACAAATGATACACCATTAGAATGAAGATAACGTAAACACCATCCATAATATATTTCTCTAACTAAAAAGAAAAGAGAAAAATATGCTGAATTAATATCTGATGTATAATGTAAACCTAAGAAGATTCCTGTAATAATTTGTAATAAAATAGTAATTCCTAATAAAAAAAACCAATATTCCAAAAATAATTTATGATCAAAGGACAAGGATATGATTGTAAATGAGATTTCATTAGTAATACAAAATATGCTGCATTCACTTTGTTCCCGTACTTCGTTCATGCCTTGTTCATTATATTCATGCCTCGCGGGCAGGGTTTGGGGTTCAGGGTTTAGGGTTTAGGGTTTAGGGTTTAGGGTTTAGGGTTTAGGGTTTAGGGTTTAGGGTTTTGGGAGATTGCTCTTTCCCAGGAATGCAAGAGCCAGACCTTACATACTCAAAAACACTCCCAGCTTCGGAACGACGGCGTTGAAAGCAACCGTCCACCAGGAAAGAGGCACGCCATGTGAGCCGAGCCAGTTTAAGCCTTTTTAGGTTTAGGGTTTAGGGTTTAGGGTTTAGGGTTTAGGGTTTAGGGTTTAGGGTTTAGGGTTTAGGGTTTAGGGTTTAGGGTTTAGGGTTTAGGGTTTAGGGTTTAGGGTTAGGGTTTAGGGTTTAGGGTTTAGGGTTTAGGGTTTAGGGTTTAGGGTTAGGGTTCAGGGTTCAGGGTTCAGGGTTCGGTTCAGGTTCAGGGTTCAGGGTTCAGGGTTCAGGGTTTAGGGTTTAGGGTTTAGGGTTTAGGGTTTAGGGTTTAGGGTTTAGGGTTTAGGGTTTAGGGTTTAGGGTTTAGGGTTTAGGGTTTAGGGTTTAGGGTTTAGGGTTTAGGGACCCGGGAGTAACCTAGGAATGAAAAGGCTGCCCTTTCTGGTTTAAGGGGATTATAAGGGGGAACCCCAACCCTGAAAAGAAGGAAACAAGGGCCTACTCCCGGTCCTCGGAAGGAACTTAAACTCGGTTCCCGTACCATCTGTACTATATGTGTTTGTTCGGCAGAGTTGAAGAATTAGGGGTCTAGTTTTGGGATGTTCCCCCCTTATACTAACAGTCCTTAATGGGGGGCTATAATGGGGGTACTACAATCCCTGTTAAGGACTGTTAGCATAAGGGGAACATCCCAAGTCTAGTTTGTAACTTCTTTTGAGTCCCCCAAAACCCTGCACCTGAAACCCTAAACCCTAAACCCTAAACCTTAACAAGAGACCAGAAGCTGGCCCGCAAGTTCTGCCAGTAGTCACGAGGTCCCCGGAGCAGGGTGAACTGCAGTGTGAAGATGTCGGGCCTGCTGAGGCTCACCTCAGACAAAAAGGAGGTTTAGGGTTTAGGGCTTAGGATTTAGGGTTTTAGGATTTAGGGTTTAGGGTTAGGATTTGGGGTTTAGGGTTAGGGTTTCGGGTTTTAGGGTTTTTGGGTTTAGGATTTGGGGTTCAGGGTTTAGGGTTCCAGGCCAGTGAAGGCATCCAAAAGAAAGACTCCACCCACCTGCATTAAAGATCAAAGACTTCGGCTCCTTCGAAACAAGGTTTAGGGTTTAGGGTTTAGGGTTTAGGGTTTAGGGTTTAGGGTTTAGGGTTTAGGGTTTAGGGTTTAGGGTTTAGGGTTTAGGGTTTAGGGTTTAGGGTTTAGGGTTTAGGGTTTAGGGTTTAGGGTTTAGGGTTTGGGGTGAAACCACAAACCCCTGCCTGGAAAGGGCAGGGTTTACGTAACAGAACTGGAAGCCTTACACCGCAATCTCTCACCTAAAACCCCACACCCTCAACCCCAAACCCCAAACCCTTGACCACTTTATCCCTAAACCCTAAACCCTAGACCCGCCTGGAAAAAGGGAGGGTTCACGTAATAGAGGTTGAGCTGAACCTCCAGATCCGACATGGACCTGAGGAAGAGGTTGACAACCTCATCGTGGGACATCTTCACCTTACCGAAGCATCGGGTTGGGGGCTTGGGATTTAGGGTTTAGGGTTTCGGGTTTAGGGTTCAGGGTTTCCAAAAGCCCCTCTTCGACTGTCAGAAAGGGTTTAGGGTCCAGGTTTAGGGTTTACAGTTTATCAATAAAATGGTATGGGGGTGGGGGGTGTTCTACTTTGCTTTGGCTGCATGGTCGCTCAAGAACCCACCGAAGAGAAATCGCAAGGACGCGGAGGGTCCATGGCTTCGGGTGTGACCCATATCTCCATATATATATATATATACAAATATACATACATATATATATATACTACCCCCCCCCATATGCCCACACTTTTTCCTGTCTCAGGTGCCATGGTAGGGTTTAGAGGTTTAGGATTTCGAAGCACGAAAGCGCTCTACTGCACCAATGTTTTAGGCACACAAGAGCAAAAACGCTGTACCTTCCCAAAAAAGCCACTCTTTTTTAAGCCAAAACAAGCAAACATGCTGTTGGCCAGTTTCGAATGCCTCATTATGGGGCTGGTTTCGACAAGTGCAATGCACCCGCTAGGGAGGGGGCCTTTGTGGTAATGGGACTCCGATGAAAAAAATGAGATTCCTTTAACAAGAATTAATAGGAATCCTACTAAATGAATATGAGCCTGAACCATGCCACCCACGCCGCCCATTGGGCCGCCCATGCCATCCATGCCCATTGGGCCTATGCTGCCCATGCCATACAGGCCGCCCAGGCCATCCATGCCACCCATTGGGCTTACGCTGCCCATGCCACACAGGCCGGTCAGGCCATGGTGGGGGCTGCAGCTGGCCTGGATGAGTCACAAAAACTAGAAAGAGCACTGGGAAGAAGCCCACAGAAGCACCAACTAAATTTATTTGGGCTCCTGGCACAGGGGTCGCTGCGGGAGTGTTGGCGGACAATACTTCCAAAGCTTGCCAGGGTTTGGGTGACTTCGGGTTTAAGCTCGGGCTTTGGGCTTTGGGCTTTGGGCTTGGAACAGTGCAGACTTGCGGCAGGCCGGGTGGATAACGCAGTTGCCTGTCGCGTGTGAAGCGGGGAGGTCGCCCTGCCATTCACTAAGGGAGCCTATTTCTTCTCGATTTTTTGGGGGTTCGGGGGGGGGAAAGGAAAAACCTACATTTTTCTTTTTTAGGAGCAAAACTCTATGTTCTCTGTGTTCTTGCTTGGAAAGCCTCTGCTTTCTCGAAGAGAGAGGGGCCTGGGGCTCGGAAGGATCGAGGAAGGTGAGGACGAAAAGCAAAGACAAAAAAAAAGAATTAAAGGACCGAGACAGAGAAAGGAAGAATGGAAAGAAACTAAGGAAAAACGAGAGGAAGTGAGGACAAGAAAGAAAGAAGGACAGAACACTGTATGCTCAGGAAAGAGCTTGCCTTAACAGCATCGGAATAGAAGATGCGACCACTTTGGGAAACATTGGGGTGAACAAGCTCCAGCCTCATTAACCTGTCCCAAAACCGCATGGTCCTAAGCTAGAGTACAAGGCCGAGCCGAAAAGCAAACAGGAGCTGCGCAAAGGCAACAGCCGGGTGCACGGACGAAGCTGCGGCAGCTTGACTGGCCCAAGCGGAGGCCGACAAGAGAAGGGGCAGCTGTGGCGCGAACATTGTGTTTGCAACTGGCGGAGAGGACTTGCGTAAGAAGCATAGGAGTCTTTTCCAAACGCGTCCTGCGAGCATTGTGTTTGCAGCTGGGCTTTATTTTGAGTCCTGCCCAGAAGAGAACTTGCATTCACATCACAGGATTCCTGTCCAACCCGTTGCGCGAGCATTGCATTCGCAACTGATCCCGCCCCCCATCATTGCGCTAGTAGAAGTAGAACCAAAAAAAGGATCCTGTGAAATTCAAAGGAAAATCCGATTAGAACAAAAGCCAAGGAAAGAAACACTGTAAGCTTTGTGTTAAAAGTGAATAAGAATCCCATGAAGATCAAGACGAACGCGATTAAAATACAGAGAGCAAAGAGGTTTCCTAGTGCAAACCAAAGACATTGATTGAGGAGAAAAGAACACTCGAAACGCAAGAAAGATTCGCAAAACAAAAACTCCACCCAGTCACTAAAGCTGCCTCACCGATTCCCCTCTGTGAAGCGAGAGAAGCTCATATGTCGAGAGGAAGCCTTTCAGATGAATGAGATCCCTATTAAAATTAACACGAACCCCATTAACATGAATAAGAACCCTAAAAGTGATAGGAATCTTATGACATTAGTAGGAGCCTGTTAGAAAAATTAGGAACCCATGAAACTTTATTGGAATCCTATGAAAATAAATAGGAATCCTCTATTGAATCATTTTAATAGGAACCCTTAACAAATTGAAAAGAACCGGTTATAATTCATAGGAATCCTGTTAAGATTAAAAGGAATTTTACGAAAATGACTAGGAACCAATAGGACTCCTGTATAAAATCATGTGAATCGGCTTAAAAGATTCGTTTCTTTGGGACAGTACAGCGTTTTTGCAGCCCCAGGCCTCCACAGCGCTGTACTGTCCCAAAAAAACCAATGTTGTTAAAGCAAACAATGCAAAATTGCTGTACTGTCCCAAAAAACCAAAAAAGCCAAAGCTTGTAGACCTCCAGGCCATTTGGGGTCCAAGGTCTCTAAACTTTGTTTTTTTTGGTTTTCTGGGACTGTACAGCCCAAGCAACCCAAGTGTCCTGCCCACACCAAGTAGCTGCAGCCTCTTCAGCTGCCCACGCGCGCATCTGCGTGTTCCTGGCCTCTACATGGTCTTACAGTGGCCTTACAGAGAAGACCCGCGAAAAAATGTTCAGGTAGCAAGCCTCCAGCTGCCCCTGGCTTAGATGTCGAAATCAATTACACACCCGCCACGGCCAGCCCATACACTGTGTGAGCCTTGCTCTCCACCCCGGCGGCCCTGCACCTGCAACCAAGTCTCCATCTAACATCTGAACACCGCTCCACTGGAACCGATTGCACATAACCTCGCATCCGAAGCAAGAGCTGTAGGTCGTCGTTGCTGAAGTTCTTGGTCGCCTGGTTTGGGCAGATCTGGAGTCTGTTTAAAGTTTACACGCTCAGCAAAACAATTCTCCGACTTCCTGCCTGTATCAGGCGTTTCCGCCGGGCCCGTAAGTTACGCTGCTGCTGCGTGGACTCACGCACCGCCTGTTTCAGAGCCTTCCTTGCTTCTTTCAAGCGCTGGAGTTCCTCGTGCAAAACCTCGACACGACAGCTACCCACACATAAAAACAACAACAAAAGCACCACACCCGGCAGACCTGGTCGTTCCTTTTCGGGGCCATGGCAAACACGGCAGCGCTACACGTGTGTGACTACAGCTGTTGAGACCGGCAACACTCGTGTATGCTTGTTGCGGTCAGCAGTTTTGGGATGCTGCAACACTCCCTCACAAGACTTTTCTTGACACGAACTTGTGCACACAGAAACAAGCGCACGCACACTGGCAACACTGGAGTGAAGCTGAGTGATGAGTGAAGCAGTTACGACGCTGCATCCGTTTCTGTCCAGACGCTGCAGTCAGTCAAACAATCCTGGGCTGTCGAAAAACCCTTGAAACAAACCGCCCCGCTGTCAGCTTCGCACAGCATCACCTTTCAAGCGCACGCTCTGGCAGGCCCAAGCAAAAACGCACGATGACTCAAGATGCAACGCCACAGCGTTGGAAAGCTTGGAAAAACAAGCCACACGCAGCTGGCCACAGCACCTGACAAGACTGCAATCAGCCCAAAGCCCCAAACGCGCACTTGTGGCAATCTGGACATCTACTGAGTGCTTCTGGGCAGATGCACCGATGCACCGGCTTCCACGAACACCCAATTCCAAGAACACCCAAATGCCTTCTAACCACAAGACCGTGCGTCTGCAACTCTGGAGTGCTGGGCGCGGCAAACTTGGAGGTTCATGGTACTTATTAACCAACTATAACTGTACTCACAACCCACTGATAAGCCCCGTAAGTGCCCTAAGATGGTTAAAAGTACAGGTATAGGTACAGTTGTGATTGGTTAATAAGTGCCATGAACCTCCAATAAGACCGCTAGTCTGAAACATGCCACCCTCGCGCCTGTTCTGTGACAAGCACACGCACATGACTACTGAAAGTGGAGTTGGCGAGGACGCGGCCAAATTAGGACACCCAAAGATCGGGACAAAATCAGCAAGGTTTTTTACCCTCGTGCCTGTTCTGTGACAAGCACACGCACATGACTACTGGAAGTGGAGTTGGCGAGGACGCGGCCAAATTAGGACACCCAAAGATCGGGACAAAAATGAGCCAAGTTGTTTATGAAAACTGAAGGACCCACGATCCCGAACGCTTGCTGACGCAGTATGGCCTCTCCACCCGTTGATGTTCATCAACGTGTCTTTTTGTGTGGGGTTTTGCATCATTTTGCGAGCGCATCCTTGATTTTTATCAATGTTGTGGCCGGCACTAATCGTTCTATCTTCTCTTAACGACCCTTTCTCACATCTGTATTTTACAATTGGATGTTTTGTTTTTGGCTTGCTTGCTTTTTGTGTGGGATTTTCCAACATTTTGCGAGCGCCTCGTTGATTTTCATCAATGTGGCCCGTTTTAAGCCGTTCTATCTTCTCTTAACAACCCTTGCTCACATCTGTATTTTACAATTGGATATCAGATAAAAATTGGATGGCCAATCTTGGCTGTAGGTTGTGCATCGTACTTGCTGTAACAGCGACTTTGCGAGGCCATGGCTCAAAAGGCTTTCTAAACCGAAAACAAAAAGGGCAAGGCCACGCCACGCCGAATTGACAGCGCAAAACGTTGTCGGCACGCCGCGCCCCGAGATGACGCAGACGTGGCATCCAACGGCTTCGTTCCTGCCGGACATGCGCTCGGAAGCCTCACTCTTAGAACACCTGTCCTGCAAGACGCGGACTTCGGGGCACGAGAAGCAGCGATTCTTTTGCGATCACGCTTTTGCGCAGCAGCGGCGAAAGCTGACTTCATGGTGGCAAACGCAACGGTGGCAAACGCAACGGTGGCACTGATGACATGGGGTTTAAGGCACGTTCACCTCCGATGTAGCACGTTTGGCCATGGCCCTAGCTGTCAAGGTAAATATTGGCTCGCAACCACTCAGACTGCCGGAACGCCGAAGCGCTGTCCACATCGAGATCCTGCGCGAAAATGAATGCACACATGGAGGAATTGAATTTGAGGACTGGCTAAAAAGCCAAACACATGCTTGGCCAAACCTGGGAACCAAGGTCAGTAGAACCGGTGTAGCCCACAAGTAGACGCTGTAGGCATACATTCCCGTTGCACTGTCGCCCAGCCGGTGGGTGTAGGTGTTCGCCTGCAGGATCGCCCGGTAATCCAGTATAAATATAAACTGAAAATCGTTGAGATTGCCCAGAACCCTTGTTCGAACGCGTGTCGGCGACAACCGCAACAACGATGACGAGGACGACAACAACAGCAACAACTGCGACTTTTAGCTCTGAGGCACACTGCATCGTGGTGACCGTAAGTGAAATCATGCAGGTTCAAGGTGCTGGCACTCTGCACCGTTACCACGAAAGGCTGCTTGAACAGGCTCTTGACAAACGAGGTCTTGGCGGCTTGACTCGGACCTTGTAGAGCGTATAACTTGTAGCGAAGTCGAACTGCTCGAGGAAAGGCGCCAGGCTTGGAAACAGTGTCACCCAATTCGGATTGACATCGTAGTCTAGAAAAGGCCACCAGTCTGTGTAGTTCCAGAGACTACCGATCTTCTTGCAGCACACATAAAAGTGGGCTCGCGCACGTGACACCTGCACGTCCTTTCCCCTGGCACGATTGCGCACCACATGAGGTCGCAGTCTGCCAAATTGAAAGCAGTCCAAGTTCCTTACACCGCAAGATCTCAACTCGGACTTGACATGACTGAGCAGGAAAAAGACACCGCGAATGGACAGCAAAGCGGCGCGACAAGTTGCGAAAATCTGCGACGCCACTTCTGGCAGCGATTTCCCTAGTGAAGACGGCACCGAGCACATGTGGCCTCCTCAGTAGTTCCTCTTAATCTTAGTAAGAACCCTTCTTATTTTAGTAAGATTCCTATGAATTACCACCGCGTTCTTTTTGATTTGTTAAGGGTTCCTACTAATTTTAATAGGCTTCCTATTAGCTTTTATCCGGCGCCGATAAATTTTGATAGGATTGCTATGAATTCAAACAAAGAATCCTACTTATTTTCATAGGATTCCAATAAAGTTTCATAGGGTGCCAAATTATTTTAATAAGGCTCCTACTAATGCAATAAGATTCCTATCAATTTCGAGGTTCTTACTCATGTCGCAGTCGGCCGGTGGGCCGGGCGGCGACGCGACGAAGCGAAGTCCTGCGGCCAGCCACTGAAAAGAGTTCAAAGGAACATGGCGGTATGATCGTTCGAAGGCACTGTGGGTGCAATTAGCCCTATAGGCCCTACGGTCACTGGAAGCACTTGTCGATGCTTGCAAGCACAACTCACATCTGAACCCTGCTGGGCTTGGGAAGACGGAGCTGCGGAGCTCACAGCAAAACACCAAAACTGGAAGACTCCCGAAAGACAACGTTGAGCGGCAAGTCATGACGTCTGCCGCAGCTGCCCCTTTTGGAGTTGCGCTGGCCTGGATCAGGATTCCGATTATTTAAGGGTTCACATCCTTTTTTATAGGAGTCCCATTGGTTCCTATAAATGTGAAATAGGGGTCCTCTTCAGTTTATTAGGATTCGTATCAATTCTAGTATGGTTCTCATTCACTTTAAAAGGGTTCCTATTCATGACACTTGGCTTCCTATTAACTGTTTATACAGTTCCGATTAATTTTAATAAGGTTCCTATGGATTTCAAAAGAAGATTCCTATTTCTGTTTATAAGATTCCAATAATTTTTCATAGCCTCTGTATTTTTATAAGCCTTAGATTTGATAGGAACGCTATTCACATGGCTATTCACATGCATAGGATTTCTATGTAAATTCATTGCATGCAGTCCACAATCTCAAGCAAATTGTTCAGGTCACTTCTGCTGGAGTTCTTATGGGAGTTCCTCCCCCCATTAAGAACGACCGCGCATGGCGGAACGTAGTATTTGCATCTGTAAACCATGCTGAAGTGTGGGCGCATGGGGGGGGAGCATGCATATATATATATATACACATATACACATATGTCTACACATATACAATATGTGTATATATATTTATTTATTTATATTTATATTTATATTTGTTTTTTTTATTTATTTATTTATAAATAGTTGAACCACAGTGGCATTTTCGATACAAAATATATATATATATATATATACAAATATATATTTATATTTATTTATTTATTTATATTTATATTTATCTATTTTTATTTATTTATTTATCTTTATTTATTTATATGTATATTTATATGTATATTTATATGTATATTTATATGTATATTTATATGTATATTTATATGTATATTCATTTTTCTATTCATTGATGATTTATGTGTTTTTTATTCATTTCTATGTGAGAATAATTTGGGTGTAGAGTTTAGATCCTTAACTTCTGAATTGCTACGTTTCGGGATGCCTGTAGTTGATGGCCATACACATCTTGCGAATCCCAAACCCTGAAGCCCCAAACCCTGAACCCTGAACCCTGAACCCTAAACCCTAAACCCTAAACCCTAAACCCCGTAGCGTACCGCAAAATGGGGGCTACGCGGAGCCCGGTAAAGGGGATTTAGGGTGACACCGCGTCTTGTTCCAGACATGCCCAACACCCTGCCGGCGTGTGCTTTGCAGAGAAGCCAAAAAAAAAGCGCTGCAACAACCAGTGTTTCATACCCCTCGTTTAGGGTTTAGGGTTTAGAGTTTAGAGTTTAGGGTTTAGGGTACTACCCCTAGGTTCCCCCCATAATAAAGGCAAATTTAAGGGCTAGGGGGGGCGGTATAGACGGGGTAGTACGGGAACCCATGAGTGTTTTAGGGCGTTTTCACAAAAGACATGAGCGATTTTGACAGCGCGCCTTGTTCCAGGCGCATCAAGCATCTATTGCACTATGTTGTGCAAAGAGGCAACAAACTCTGTCAATACCGGTGTTTTGGAGCATTGTCATAATCCCCCACCCCACCCAACCCAGCCCCATCCCGCCCCACCCCCACCCACCCCCACCCCACCCCCACCCCACCCCCACCACACCCGCCCCCGAACCCCCACCCCCACCCCAGCGCGCCACCCCCACAGAACATGCCCGATGACCAGCGGCCGTCTACGCGCAGTGTACCAACTCCTAGCCTGCCGTTGCCCTAAGCCCCTGAAACCCCTCAAGCCCCCAAATCCCCAAAACCCAAACAAAACCCAAAACCCCTAACCCCCTAAAACCCCTAAAGCCCCTAAAACCCCTCAAGCCCCTACAGCCCCGACAACCCCAGCCCTAAACCCTAAACCCCAAACCCTAAACCCTAAACCCCAAACCCTAAACCCTAAACCCTAAACCCCAAACCCTAAACCCTAAACCCTAAACCCCAAACCCTACAGGACCAAAGGCCAAGAAGCCCAAAAGAGCCACGTCTGCGGCTCAGGGGCCTCGAACACCTCGGCTTCGAAAAAAAGCTTGGGGTTTGGGGTTTAGGGTTTGGGGTTTAGGGTTTGGGGTTTAAGGTTTGGGGTTTAGGGTTTAGGGTTTAAGGTTTAGGGCTTAGGGTTTAGGGTTTAGAGTTTAGGGTTTAGGGTTTGAAGGTTTAGGGTTTAAGGCTTGGGGCTTAGGATTTGGGGGTTTGGTGGGCTTAGGGTCTTTTGCGCCCTGGACAAAGCAGCCATCAAGCCCAAGAACAGAAGAAATGTGGAATATGCCAAGGGGTCTGCCTAGTTTAGAGCTCAGGGCTTCCGAAACATAAGCAAGCGAGTGGTTCCTGAGTCTCGAAGCCTGACGGAGGAAGGTTCAGGGTTTAGAGTTTAGGGTTCAGGGTTTAGAGTTTAGGGTTTAGGGCTTAGGATGCATAGAAATTTTACAGGCTTTGGGCCCCAAGTATGTTTTGACTGAGTTTGAAAGAAAGTCCTAAACCTTGAGCGGGATGAGGTCGGGGGGTGTTACTCCTTCAACAAAGGGCTGAGCTTTGTGCTTTGTAACGTACGCCGACTCAAGAAACAAGTTGAACACCTCAGTGCTTTTGGGCTGGAAAGGCATTTGTCAGCTCATCGAAACTGCAATTTCTAAGCGAACCATATACAACTTTTGGATGTTGTTTTTTTGAGGGGGGTCGATTGCGTAGCCTCTCTGCAATGAGACTCTGAAATATGTAGAAGACGTGATATTATGATAAGGATATCCTTGTTGGTGTAGGCTACTTTTTAAGGGAACCTAGAACCAAGAAAGGCGGGCAACCCTAAACCCTGAACCCTGAACCCTAAAGCCTGAACCCTAAACGCGAAACCCTAAACCCTAAACCCTAAACTTTGTACAAATCCAGAAGAGAAGCCCTGACCGTCAAAGATGTCGCAATGCCAAAGTTGGACCCAGCACGACGCATTGCCCACCATAGATCCTTTAGGTGAGCAAGGTTTAGGGTTTAGGGTGTTGGTTTAGGGTTTAGGGTTTAGGGTTCAGGGTCCAGGGCTCAGGGTTCAGGGTTTAGGGTTCAGGGTTCAGGGTTCAGGGTTTAGGGTTCAGGGTTTAGGGTTTAGGGTTTAGGGTTCAGGGTTTAGGGTTTAGGGCTTCATGAACTTTGCGGCTTCTCGAACTCGCGCAGCTTGCTCTGCCCGGAGTCGGGACGATCAGCGTTGAAAAGCTATCACCACGACAACCCTTTAGGGTTTAGGGTTTAGGGTTTAGGGTTTAGGGTTTAGGGTTTAGGGTTTAGGGTTTAGGGTTTAGGGTTTAGGGGGTTTAGGGTTTAGGGTTTAGGGTTTAGGGTTTAGGGTTTAGGGTTTAGGGTTTAGGGTTTAGGGTTTAGGGTTTAGGGTTTAGGGTTTAGGGTTTAGGGTTTAGGGTTTAGGGTTTAGGGCCCTTCCTCTCAAATGAACCCCCGCCGGTGTTGAGACTGATGGCAAGGGCAGCTGCGTAGGTCCCCGGCCTTTTATCCACTGTCAGAAAGGGCTCCGATTCGAAACCCTGATCCCGAAGCCCTAAACCCAAATTAGACTTGATTCGAGTTGAGGGTTTGGGGGTGGGCTTAAAGCTGCCAACATGAGACAGCCTGCGACCCCAAAAAACCCATGGGTTGTTCAAATTTAGGGATGGGTTTAGGGCTTAGGGTGTGCGATTTATCAAAGAATCCTTCTATTCATGGCCCAACCCGTATTAGAACACCCCCCCGTCGAGTTGGGAGCCATGAAAGAACCCAAAACGCGCAAAAACCCTACGCTCAAAAAAACTCCAAACCCAAAACCCTGAACGAACAACCGCCCAAAGCCCTAGACCCCAAACCCCCCAAAGACCTAAACCACACCCAAAGCCCTAAACCCTAAACCCCAAACCCCAAACCCTAAACCACCCAAAGCCCTAAGCCCTAAACCCCAAACGCTAAACCCAAAAAAAACACCCAAAAGCCCTAAACCCTAAACCCGAAAACCCCGAACCTTAATCCGCCCAAAGCCCTAAACCCTAAACCCTAAACCCTAAACCCTAAACCCCAAACCCTAAACCCTAAACCCCCCAAAGCCAGCTCCTGGTCGCCTGACGAAGCGTTGAGAGCCCGGATGCGCCCATCAGCGGTCACCTTCGAAGCAGGGTTTAGGGTTTAGGGTTTAGGGTTTAGGGTTTAGGGTTTAGGGTTTAGGGTTTAGGGTTTAGGGTTTAGGGTTTAGGGTTTAGGGTTTAGGGTTTAGGGTTTAGGGGCTAGAAAACCTGAGCTCAGAGCTTTAACCATCGATTCCGCCATCCAGGCGGGAGGAGTTCGCCGAAGACCATGAACAACAACAGCACAACTTCTGCTTAGGGTTTAGGGTTTAGGGTTGAGCATCTTATTGTCATGATTGATGCCCTTGCTGCCTGACATCTACAGGCGCCACATAAACACAAGGATCCCACTCTTGGGGTGTAGGGGCCCCTAGAAGGGGGATTCCGAAACAACCTGTTTGTAGGATCCTTATGCTTATGTGGGTTTTTGGGGGCCCTGATCTGCCGTCTCGTTTTCTGGCGGCGGTCTAGGGATGATTTGCGGCTGCGCACTTCCTTACTTAGCCTTATTGGGGGAAAGCGGGGCCCGGAAAGATTGGCAAAAAGACGTCCTTTCTGCTGTGACATCGGGTTCAGGCTTCGAGGTTGTGGGTTTAGTGTTGCGGGTTTAGGGTGTGCAGCTATGATAAGTTCTCCCTCCCCGTGCTGAGTATCATGATGACCACCATGCTTTATCTTGGACCGTCTTCGCTTTGCAGGAAAGTCACAACCGTCATGCTTTCAACCGACTCGTTGCCCCAGCCATAGAGAGCCTTCGGGCTTCAAGGGTTTAGGGTTTAGGGTTTAGGGTTTAGGGTTTAGGGTTTCGGGTTTAGGGTTTACGGTTTCGTCTTTAGGGCTTAGGGCTTAGGGAAAAGCCTGCCTGCGGGGTGCCCAAGAAAGCATGGTAGGGACAGGCTAAGCCTTAGCCCCCCGATAAAAAGCATACTGTGTTCTCCAGGAAACTCCTACTGCACGCGCCTTCATGCATAGATGAAACTCAATATGTGAGGTTCAAGACATGGAACCCTGATGTACTACAGTTCACGTTCGCTGATGGCTACAAGAGGAAGGTTTCGTGCTTGGAAGTCCAGACAGCTGAAATTCTACGTAGCACTTGTTGGTAGAAACCTACTTACCCAGCTTACTCATTGGGGTCCTCATTCGAAAAGCATGTTCATCACTTGCCGCACTTCCTAAGCAACAACAAAAGCGAGGGCTACGATTCTACAATGGTAACAACAGCGACAACAATGAGAAATAATCACAACAACGAGCTCTCACCACCATCAGACGACAGAGAGAAGCTCATAACAATGAGGATGAGAACAAAAGTGGGCATGATCCTGCGTGATCACATGGGAGTTTCCAAACTCCGGAGAGTACCCATTTTGGGGTCCTTACAAAGCGGTTTTTGCTGTATTGGGGGTATATCAGGCTGCCCCAATTTAGGGAAACCTGCACATCCTCAACTCAAGGCAAGAAAACAGGAACCTTTTCTGCTTCTTGGCAAAACATCCACACGGGAACCCTCCCACTCTACCCCACTTAGATCAATACTTAACCCTAAACCCGAAAACCTTAAACCCTGAACCCTATTTCCTGAGCCAGAACGTTTCATCGAAGCTGAGCAGCGGTCAGCGAGTTCAAATGCAGCCCTCCGTGCAGATAGAAGCCTCCAACACCCACCGCATGGCAGGCGCCATGCACAATCCTCGTTTCAGTTCACCCTAAACCCTAAACCCTAAACCCTAAACCCTGAACCCTAAACTGAAGCTAGAGTAGCAGTCAGCATGACTGACGTCGATGAACGCAACAATGCGTTGCAGTAGGAAGCCTACGTAGGAACTCCCATTCCCCAACCTGGGGTTTAGGGTTTACGGTTTAAGGTTTAGGGTTTTAGGGTTTAAGGTTTAGGGTCATCTACATCGCTAGATATAAATTACCTTGCTAGGGAGGGCTCATGGTTTTGGGTTTGGCGCGTGGCGGGTCAAAACAAACAAACCCACCACCCTACAATAAACCCCAAAGGCAAGGGACGTCCACCTTGCATTTTTTTCTTAGTATGTGTTTTTTTCTTGAGACCCTGATCTTACACTCCAAACCTAGCCCCAAACCCCAAACCCTAAACCCGTACCAAAGAAAAAATGACCAAAAAGACAAACGCCCCAAGAGTCGAGAAGCGGCGGCGGTCGATGATCCGGAAGAGGTCTCGGAATGTATTCCCTGTTTCAAACTCAGCATACCAAACACCATCTTTGTTGTAGAAACGCTTCTGCTTCCTTAGCGAGTCTGCGACAGCTTCTGAACCGAGCACGAAGGTCAAAAACAGAAACAGAGCAAAAGATCAACCCTAAACCCTAAACCTTAAACCTAAACCCTAAACAACCCCAAACCCTCCCTAAACCCTAAAACCTCCCAGGAAGTTCGCCCAGCGACCTGAGCCTCAAGTCCAGATGGACAGATCCCGGCTTAATCCCGTCGCAAGTGTAGCTGTGCCCGCCACTCCGCACGCTCAACGGCAGACCGAGCTTTGCAGTCCTGCGGTTTCAGGCTTAAGGTTTCATCTTAGGGTGCTTACATGGTCCCTTAAACCATCAGATGTCTTGCAACTGGTCATAGCTGCATGTACTGGGTTCGCGGCGCCTTTGAGATATGATTATAGGATACTAATTCCCTCATTCCCTACCAAGAACCAGCCAGTTATTGTTTCAATCTTTTTTAGGGAGGTGATCAAAATCATGATCCCTTTTGGGTACCCTAACAATTAGGTGCCCTATTGTCATGGGGATCCAAAAAGAGACCACACAACCATTCAAGTAGCTCAAGACTAGGATGGACCTCCGGACAGTACGGGCGACGTCTGCATCCGTCTTGGGCTGAACGATCACCTCACGACCCACGGAAAACACCGGAAGCTTTGGAGAGATCTCAACTTAGTTGTCCAGTAACCTGAGAGAATTAAAGGTTGACCTTTCGGATGATAAGGGGATTATACTACGCCAAGAAGGTTAAAGGTTACCTGCTCTACCACTAGGTCAAAGTCAGTGGTATATCTTATTGGTGCAACTATAGCAGTACGGCTACCATATTTGCATCGTAGTAGGCGATAATGCGTGATAGTACTGCATTGCCAACTCAAACCGAGAGCATGAATTCTTTAGGTTGGAGAGGCAAGCGACCAGCGGCAGGATGCCATTGCAATCTGAGTTTGCCCATTTGAAGGGATAACTCTCGATGCCTTCGCAAATGGCCTTCCCTTCCAGGTCTTTCCGGAAAATCGGGCACACGGCCACGTCTCCATTCCTTGGTATTCTTCCAAGCCTCGCACTTGCCCAAGATTTATTCATTTCCCTCGCAAAACGATTGAGAAGGCTACGCCAAGACTCTGGCAAAGCCAACTTCTTCACTGTGGAAACATCGGGGTATGTCTTGAAACTATGGGTCCCTGTTATGGGTGCGAAAGCGAATACAAAATCTGGAAGATTTAAAGGCACAACAGGGGGACGCCTCTCAATTGAGGCAGACCCATCTCCAAACCCTAAACCCTAAACCCTCAACCCTAAACCATAAACCCTAAACCCTAAACCCTAAACCCTAAACCCCTGACCTGTGCTCACAGCTTCGGGCGGCTGCCACCAGCTGCCCCAGACAGGGCCCAGGCGCAGGCTGCGAAGCTGCCACAAAGCGCGGCAGCGCTAGCGAGGCGGCAGATCCTGGAAGGTGGACGACGGCTTCTTCTGTCCTGACACCAGGGTTTAGGGTTTAGGGTTTAGGGTTTAGGGTTTAGGGTTTAGGGTTTAGGGTTTAGGGTTGAGGGTTTAGGGTGTAGGGTGTAGGGTTTAGGGTTTAGGGTTTAGGGTTTAGGGTTCAGGGTTTAGGGTTTAGGGTTTACAGATTCGGGTTTAGGGTTTAGGGTTTAGGGTTTAGGGTTTAGGGTTTAGGGTTTAGGGTTTAGGGTTTAGGGTTTAGGGTTTAGGGTTTAGGGCGTAGGGCTTAGGGCTGAGGGTTCAGGGTTTCGGGTTGTAGGGTGGTTTGGGGTTTGGGGTTTAGGGGTCCTGACAACTGAAGACACATGAAAGGAAGGGGATCCCACAACACGAAGCCATGAATTGAGCGCAACCTTACACATCCATCATTCTGAGTGCTGCCGTGATTATTACGACTGGTATGACCATCATGTTTTGGCAAAATTGCGTTTTACGAACATATCAGTAAAGAACTGTGTGCTCCTTGTGTGTGGAATGTGGCATGGCCACCATCAGCATTCCAAAGGCTGATCAACACGTGACGTAATTATGTAGCATGGCAGTCCTATTGAGTCAATGTGGGTGGCGAAGTGTGTGCGCAGGAAACGGACATGCAAATATGTGTATTCAGGATGCCCGCAACGCTTCAAACCTGCGACCCCGTCTCTTGAGGACGTGACACCCTGCTGGCAGAACTTTTAACTCTAAACCCTAAAACCCTAAAACCCTAAAACCCTAAAACCCTAAAACCCTAAAAGCCTAAAACCCTAAGACCCTAAAACCCTAAAACCCTAAAACCCTAAGACCCTAAACCCTAAACCCTCGAACCCTCATCCCTAAACCCTATGCTGGTCGGTGCCGACATGAGAGGGCAAAGGGGCTGAGTCGATTTGCCACTTCGGAAACTTCGAGCCGTAGGGTTTAGGGTTTAGGGTTTAGGGTTTACGGTTTAGGGTTTAGGGTTTAGGGTTTAGGGTTTAGGGTTTAGGGTCAGGGTTGCTTGCAAGCCATATTTTTCTTGGGTGTATGAAGGACTTCTTCGAATGTCTTCGGGGTTTATTAAGGGGTTTTATCGGGGCTTTATTCGGGGTTTATGAGAAAACATATGGGGTCATTCGAGGCTTATTGGGATTGCTTATGGGCTTATTAGGATTGATTATTGGTTTATTCGGAGTTTATTCGGGTTTATGAAGGCACATTACGGTTTGGTGGGGCTTTTGGAACTTGCAACGCTTTCCGGAAGTGAAAAGCCATGTGTCAACATTGCACAAGTGCGTTTGACCGCCAACAACGATTTATGAGCTAGGATGCGGAAGCCCATGCCGAAGCAATGTTGAGGACACACGAGCAATGCTACAAGCATACCCAGGATCTTTCGTAATGTCGAAATAAAACCTTGCATTTGGTTATGGGTTCCTTAACGAGGACTAAACTATTTAAACTCCAAACACTATTCCAAAACCTTCCTCGTCAAAGGTTTAGGGCCAAACCCTATCCGGTTAAGACCTAGTGAATACAAATACAAGGCTTAGGGGAAAACAATGAGTGAACAATTTCGCCTGAAGCTTATTCGTTTAATACTCAATCCAAACCTAATTTCTAAACCGCATTTGCCTAAGACTTAGGCCAAACCTTATTCGTTTAAGATGTAGTGAATATAATTCAGGTTTAGCGGAAAAGATGAGTGAGCCTCTTTTCCCTCAGCAATGCCTACAAAGTGCAGGGCTTGTGGAAATGCCAAGAACATGTAGAATGACCGTATGTGTATGGGGTGTATGTGTTGTATGAAAAGGTAGTAGAACTTGCCCACATCATGTGGATATATAGTGTTTGTATTGTATACCAAGAAGAGAAAATGGACCGGAAAGGGCGGCAATCCTCAAACTAGAAAACTAGGAAGTGCTTGAGGGATGATAGGGGTCTTCTAAGTCTTGCTTATTCTGGGGTGATACTATATATTTCGGGGGCGTGTGAGTCTTGCTTATTGGGGGATGTTCTATGTAGGGGTCTGTTAAGTTAAGTCTTGGTTGTCGGGGGACAGTCCAATTCTTTAAAAAAAGACATCGCATTTTTCTAAGCGGAAATATTGCAGGTCACTCCTCCCAAACCATGGTCTGTCATGGGGGGGCAGATATTTCTACCTGTCTCTCTATCTATCTCTCTATCTGCCCGAGAAATCAAAGGAATGGGGTTGTGGTTCAGAGTTGACGCGTGGCCGAAACCCGAAACCCTGAGTGTATGTTTGCGTTTCAGACTCTAACCTTAATCCTAGGGCCTAGGAAGCTCAGGATGGATCATTGTCGAGGCAGATTACGGGCACCCGCGCATCAATCACTTCTTGCATCTGCTTAAGGCCACTTGCCACCGCCATAAAAGAATTCGACAAAAAGAACGGATAAAAGGCACCAATATCCAATTTAAAAATATTGTAAAAGATGCACAAAGAATTCTTCTTCAGTTAAGCACGATACCCCCACATTTGCATTTACAGTTTTTATTATAACTGTCAACAGAGATGCACGTCCGTTCCCGTTTTGCAGAAGACTGGCAAGACGCAGAACAGAACTAAGCAGAGTCTTATTTGTTTTGCTCACAACAACCGGCTGTATCAAGCAGATCTGGCCTCTGCCCGCGGAGAAAGCGGGCCCAGAAACACTAAATGGGTCCCAATTTTGGGGCTCCAAACTGGGTGACCTTGTGCTTTTAAAGGCCCATTTTCAGTGTCCGGAATACAGCTGCTCTTTGGGAACCTGTTTAAGTTCGAGTGTCTTGGATTTGCTAAGAGATTCTCCGAAATTTCTGCAGATTTTTTTTGAGTTTGCCAGAAAGTTGCAACAGTTGGTCTGAAAAAAGGAACCTTTATCAAAAAGTAAGTTGAAAAAAAAAAACAGTACAAGCAAAAACCGAACATCAACAAAAGTGAGAACAATTAAAATGTGAAACCATAAAAAAAAAACAAGCTCTAACAACAAAACATTTGCAGTACAGTTGAACTTGTCTTGTCCTGCAGTTGATTTCTGTCCAAACGGACGCTGTCAGAGGCTTTCAAAAACGCTTGTTTTTAAGCAACTTCAAATCAGGTTAAGAGAAGCTTTTTGCGGAGAAGACGCGCTTTCTGATTCAAAGCACTTCTAAACCATGGAGCGCGGAAGATTTGGCAGATTTCTTAGCCATTGTTTCAACCCACAGTGCGAGAAAGATCGCATGCAGACAATGCAAGACTTTGTCTTGAATGCTAGCCAAAGAGGTACAGTTGCAGTTCTGCCTCACTGCAGCATTGCAAAGACGAGCGTGCAGCTGATTCGGACAAGCCCCCGCACGCTCAGGGCGACGCTGCCCAAAGTTACTAGAAAAAGAGCAGGCGCGATCGGGTTGCTTGCGCCCACAGGCTCAAATTCAAGGGCCAAAAAAAAGGGCCGTCTCGCGGCCCCAAAAATGGGGCCGCGAAATGGACCCAGCTCCCGCAGTACAATTTGGAACTAGATTGGGGGGGGTGAAACTGCGACCCCAAAATTGGGGCCGTTTGGCGGCCCCAGTTTTGGGGCCGCGAATTCTTCTATTTTTGGCGCTTTCCAGACTGCTACACTCAGGCGACTCTGGCCCACAGACAAGCACTCAACGTGGAAAGAGCAATTACTGAGAACCACGACCTCCGCAGGCAGCTTTCTTGTGGAAGTGATCAACATGAGAGAAACTTGCACAGTTGCAGTTCTGCCTCACTGCAGCATTGCAAAGACGAGCGTGCAGCTGATTCGGACAAGCCCCCGCACGCTCAGGGCGACGCTGCCCAAAGTTACTAGAAAAAGAGCAGGCGCGATCGGGTTGCTTGCGCCCACAGGCTCAAATTCAAGGGCCAAAAAAAAGGGCCGTCTCGCGGCCCCAAAAATGGGGCCGCGAAATGGACCCAGCTCCCGCAGTACAATTTGGAACTAGATTGGGGGGGGTGAAACTGCGACCCCAAAATTGGGGCCGTTTGGCGGCCCCAGTTTTGAGAATTCTATTTTTGGCGCTTTCCAGACTGCTACACTCAGGCGACTCTGGCCCACAGACAAGCACTCAACGTGGAAAGAGCAATTACTGAGAACCACGACCTCCGCAGGCAGCTTTCTTGTGGAAGTGATCAACATGAGAGAAACTTGCACAGGGGAGGCCCACACACCCGAAGCCAGAATTGCCTAGATTTTCCGACCCCAGATTTGGAGGTCACAGAATCACAGCTGCAAGCCTCACGCGCACACGGCCTTCTGCTTCTACTATCTGATACACTTCCAGCTAATAGTCACGTGCTCTTCCCGCAACTCTACCCCTGCCCACTTACGCGGCGTCGCTAATCAAGATTAGAGGGGCACCTACTACTGTAGCTCTGGCGGAGTCGGCGTGACAAGCCTCGGCGGAGTCGGCGGAGTCCTCGCAAATTGCAATTTACCAATAAGAGTGCCGTGGAGTCCTAGGTTTCCCGGAATAACAAAACAATGTTTTTTAATTCGGGAACACAACGACTCCGCCGTTCGCGGGCAGCTCGCCTTGGTCCGTTTTGCTAAGACTCTACGGGGGTGGAGGGCCTCCACCACGCAGCAGGAAAGTGACCTTCGCTATGTTCTCAAGCAGGTTAAGCCGAGGCAGGAACTCGGTCTCCTAGCACTTGCTGTGGAAATCAAGCCCCCTTCCCAGCCTCTTCAAAACACAGTCAGCCCCCCCTCACCCCAACCCTTTCAAAAGAGGTCACACCCAACCCAGCCCCTTCATAGCATGGTCAAACCCGCCCAAGCCCACCCCAAGCCCACCCGAAAGCTACCCTCAGCGCCTTCAAAACATGGTCAAACCCATCCCAGCCCCGTCAAAGCATGGTCAAAACCACCCCAAAGCCATCCCACCTTCAAAACACGGTCAAACCCACCCCACCCACCCGCACCCCTTCTAAACAAACCCACCCCGAGTCCCAAAACACGGTCAAACGCACCCCAGTCCATTCAAAGCATGGTCAAACCCAGCCAAACCCACCCCAAACCCACGCTGAACCCACCCCAAACCCACCCGCTATTCTCAGTCCCTTCAAAACACGGTCAAACCCACTCCAAACCCACGCGCACAACCCTGTCGCTGGGGACGTCGCCCGTCCCCAAAATCTTCTTCTTCATTGGGCGCATGGTAACTTAAAACGGGCCTGCAACACGCTTAAATATCTTTGCTGTTCAAAGCCCAAGCCTGCCAAAAAAACTTTCATTCTGCAATGTCTAGCAAACGACTCTGCGCAACCGCAGAAAACGTTGACGCCACGTTGGTCAACTCCAGAGCTTGAAGCGTGACTCCTATCCACAGAAAACACCAACAAAGACCTGCAGCTCAACTGGCGGGCCAGCAGCATTGCCAGGACGAAGCCCAAGTTATGGGGAAGTCGGGCGGCCCAGCTTTCAGGGCCGCAAAACACAAGCAATTCTGGCTTCGCCAGGACGGGCCTCCACAGTTGCAGTTCTGCCTCACTGCAGCATTGCAAAGACGAGCGTGCAGCTGATTCGGAC